TCGATCTGGATATCACCCAAAAATTCTACGCTAAAGAATCTGGGTTAACTTCCAGTTCCAAATCTTGAGCAAGAGCGAATCTTGTCTCAACGATTTGCCGCATTTCGTTAAGGAATTTCTATTTTTCAATGCTTTTAATTTTCGATCTGGAGTGCACGAAAGCAATTGCTCTTAAAAATTCAAAGATTAGATCGAATTAGAAAAATTTGATTTTATGTCTCTTTCTTTGCTTTCCCTGTAGCTTTTTTTGTTTTTTTGAGCGTCAGCTGTCATTTTATCTACATTTTTTTGCTTATCTGGCTCTCAAAACAGGAAGATTGTTGATAAATTTAGACAATAAAAGCCATTTTTTTTTGTCTTTTTTTGCATTCTTGATAGAAAATCAAGAAAAAACAAAAAAAAACAACTCTGACACTTTTTCTTGATTCTAAATTACATTAGAACCGAGATTCCATTTTGTGAACTCTTTCTGGAGGGCACGTAATCGTTTGGGTAAACAATGCGGTCACTTATCGCCAGTAGTGGATATGAGTGCCAGGGCTGGGTAGAGAATGGTGTATAGGTTATTATGGTTGCGGGATTGGATGAGAATCCCCCCGAGCCCGAGTGGGGTAATCCCCCGAGCTCCCCACTCAACATTTGGACTCTCATATCTATGGAGAAAGGGAAGAGAGAGCAGCACTTGACCCCCGCAGCGTACTCTTCTCATAGTTCAACACCGCCCACCGGTGGACTTGGCTGATCAGGTGGACTTGGCTGTCAGGTGGACTTGGCTGATCAGGTGGACTTGGCTGATCAGGTGGACTTGGCTGATCAGGTGGACTTGGCTGCTCGGGCTGAGCCTAGCTGCGCCGTGCGTAAGATAGCGGAGCGCAGTTATCTCATTGTCAAACTCTAGGTGGAAAATCTAGGCCATGATCGAGCTTGCGCAAACGCACAGCGTCTGGTGCACTGGATTCCGTTTTTAAAATGTAATTTGGCCAAGCTGGAACGCAGGTAAGCTCTAGGGTAAGAAAATTTTCATTTTAAAGCGAAATCTAAATTCGAGATAGGCGATGTTTGAGTTTGCGCAAACGCACAGCGTTTGGTGCACTGGATTTCGATTTTTCTTCGAGATTTGGCCAAGCTGGAATGCAGGAAAGGGTTTTGACAAGAAAAATGAGCAAAAGACAAGTGAAAAAAGTTGCAGGCCTAGTTACAGGTCCACGAACCTGAGTTGACCATTCTTTTGCTCAATCATTCGATCACTGGGGTCAGGGGCAGGGGTTAATCGGATTTGTTTGGGAATCCCGGGCAAGAAAAGAGCTGGCTGTGCGACCCGGAGGACCCTTGCCTACCCCTCTTGCCCAGCGGGGTCTTTAGACAAACAGTCTCACTGGATAGTGGGGTCCACTATGAGCTTTTTCTCTTTTTTTTTCAACCAACGACCCCAAGGACCCGCAAGGACCCCTAGGACCGCCCCGGTGACACCCAGCTTCGATTGTTTTTCGATCGGTTCTTCACCTGCACAAAAGCATCTCACTTTTTTTGGCTTGAATTGAGTTCAGCTCTTAAAAAACCTTATTTAATAAGTAGAAATTTTTCTAGCGCCTGATTCTTGTATCCTGGATATCACAGTACTCAAATTCGACATTAGACAGGTTATAGCTCGTTTTTTGGAGTATAGCGGAAATTTAGTGTTAACTGAATTTTGTAAGAGCGAGATCTAGTCAAATTTTTGGTTTCTTTGCTCAAAGTGATATCCAGAATTGCCATTCCGCTGAAGAAATTGGCTATTCGAGTGCTCGGGAGTGAGAAATGGTCGCGGTGAGCATTCTGGGATTTTGGCTTTGTCAATTGGTTACTTTGCCAATTAGAAGGCTAATTAGAAGCCTTCTAAGCCAATTAGAAGCTTTCTAAGCCAGTTAGAGGCCTTCTAAGCAAATTAGAGGCCTTCTAAGCCAAATTAGAAGTCTTCTAAGCCAATTAGAGGCCTTCTAAGCCAATTGGAAGCCTTCTAAGTCAATTAGAAGCCTTCTAAGCCAATAAGAAGCTTTCTAAGCCAATTGGAAGCTTTCTAAGCCAACCAGAAGCTTTCTAAGCCAATTAGAGGCCTTCTAAGCCAATTAGAAGCCTTCTAAGCAAATTAGAAGTCTTCTAAGCCAATTGGAAGCCTTCTAAGCCAATTAGGGGCCTTCTTTCTATCGTATTTCCCTCTTGTGCCCTCCATAATATACAAATTTATCGTTTTCATGCAAGAGCTCACAGAAAAAAGGCATACAAAGTGTCTCCAGAAAGATTTTCTATACACCGGCTGTTTGTTTTCTCTTCTCTCCCGTTCCCCTCACTTTCCCAGCCCCTTTTCACCACTCTAAACATTCGAAAAAGTCAACAACGAAATCCGAAATCGTCAAATGACACGAAAATACGAAAAATACAAAAGCCAGCCATGCTTCTAAGGCTTTAAAATGCAAATTTCTAAAATTTGCATAAGTCATTTTTTCATTTGTCTACATTTTGCTCATTTTTCTTGTAAAAACCCTTTCCTGCGTTCCAGATTGGCCAAATTTCATTTCAAAATAGAAATCAAGTGCGCCAGACGCTGTGCGTTTGCGTAAACTCGACCTTGCCCTATATCGGATCTAGATTTCGCTTTTGAATGAAATTTTCTTATTCTAAAGCTTACCTGCGTTCCAGCTTGGCCGAATTTCATTTCAAAATTGAAATCCAGTGCACCAGACGCTGCACGTTTGCGCAAACTCGATCATAGCCTATCTCGAATCTAGATTTTGGTTTAAAACGAAAATTTTCTTACTCTAGAGCTTACCTGCGTTCCAGCTTGGCCAAATTTCATTTCAAAATCGAAATCAAGTGCGCCAGACACTGTACGTTTGCGCAAACTCGATCATGACCTATATCGGATCTAGATTTCGCTTTTGAATGAAAATTTTCTTTCTCTAGAGCTTACCTGCGTTCCAGATTGACCAAATCTCAAAGAAAAAACGAAATCCAGTACGCCAGACGCTGTGCGTTTGCGCAAACTCTATCTTAGCCTATCTCGAATCCAGATTTTTCTTTTAAATGAAAATTTTCTTACTCTAGAGCTTATCTGGTTACCAGCTTTGTCGAATTTCATTTCAAAATCGAAATCAAGTGCGCCAGACGCGTGCGTTTACGTCAAAATCGTTTCGAGATGAATAGACGTCTGGATTTAGAATTTTTGTACGCCACCCGGTTTTTTTCTTTTATTATCCATTCACCCATAGCCAATATCGTTCCAATTTTTGCCGATTATTGATGTAGAATGGCTCTCTTTTACTCATCGAGGTCATCCGGGGGTAATTTTCCCTTTGCCCCTTCCCGCCACTCCCTCACGAGCAACTCTGAACGTTTTTATCATTAATATGCTAATAATTTCTAGAAACAAGGGTTTTAATCATCAATCTGGAGCTCACGATACATGTTGTATGCAAAAAAATCGGTGATTTGAAGTTTTGGAATTTTTGGTCGGGCTTGGCCGGACCCCGGTTTAAAAAATTTTTCAAAATTTTTTGAAATCCATCGGAACAACTTTTGCTTAGCTCTGTGCGTTCCAGATGGATCAATTTGGAAACTCGAAATTATCTATAAACTGTTTAGTGGCGAGAAATTTACGCAAACTCCGTTGCTCTCCCTCACGAGCAACTCTGAATTTATCATTAATATGCTAATAATTTCTAGAAACAAGCGTTTTAATCATCAATCTGGAGCTCACTGTACATGTTGTATGCAAAAAAATCGGTGATTTGAGGAGTTTGAAATTTTTGAAATTCTTGGCCGGACTCGGGTTTAAAATTTTTTTCAAAATTTCTTAAAATCTACCGGAACAACTTTTGCCTAGCTCTGTGCGTTCCAGATGGGCCAATTTGAAACTCGAAATTATCTATAAACCGTTTAGTGGCGAGAAATTTACGCAAACTCCGTTGCGCTCAAAGTCGATCGATTTAGTCGATTTTCGATGGCGCCAACAACTCCAAAACCTTCCCTGACTTCCAGAACTCCGAAATTCGGGATCCTGGAACGCAGGGATCCAGGCACTTAAGCGTGTTTAGTCATAGAAAGCACTAAAACATGAACAATAGGAATTTGGGCGGGGGAGGGGAGGACTTGTATGGCGCAGATGGCCGAATGGATTCACGCCGACCCCCGTAAACACCCATTGTTCAACGGGGAACCATTTCTTTTTGTCGTTTTACTGTTTTTCTGAATAATTTTGTCGTTTTTGAACGAAAAATAGTCGAATTTCTTTACCCAACGATTTTTCCGATTTCCAAAAACTTTTCTCGAATTTTAAACCCTTTTCTGAGCGATCTGGAACGCACAGAAGCTATTGGGTTGGTGGAAAAGTCTTTTCCGATGTTTGGGAGAGTACCTTAAATTTGTCCAATTTAAGTCCAATTTAGACGTTTTATAGCTCATCCTAAAGCTGCCTAGCTCATCCTAAAGCTGAATTCAAGACGATTCCATTGGTAAAAACCGTTTTGAGATATCTCTTTTCGAAAAGTTTTTACAGCTATTTTATTAAAGGGCGGCAGAGACAAAAAATCCTGTTTTCGTTGGTTTTCCGTGCGGAAACCTAGGCCAAAAACATGTTTTTCGTGATCAGCGTCCAAAATAACCCCTACACACGCATTTTCAGAATCTTAGCAAAAAATTTTTGAAAAATATTGTCACCGGTGGGAGTCGAACCAGCGACCCTCAGATCAATAGCCTTTCCGCCGCTTTTCGCGATTTTCCTTCGTTTTGTTTGTGCGAACTTCGGCTGGACCCCCGTAAACACCCATTGTTCAACGGGGAACCATTTCTTTTGTTTTTTTACTGTTTTTCTGAATAATTTTCTCGTTTTTGAATCTAAAAATAGTCGAATTTCTTTTCCTAACGATTTTTCCGATTTCCAAAAACTTTTCTCGAATTTTAAACCCTTTTCTGGGCGATCTGGAACGCACAGAAGCTATTTTAATCATAAAAATTGCAGGCTGAACATGGCGGACGTGAACGGGTTCGCGGAGGCTTCACAAATGCTCAACAATGCCTTAAACGAGTTGGACGAGTTGCTTCAAAATCGTGAGTTTTGAGATTTTAAGTGAAAAATGGATGTTGTGAGTGCCATAATGCTCGAAAAAGTCGACAAAATGGAGTACTGTAGGATTTGAGATGCTTAAACCTCACCAGCTCTCGACTCTTCCTCACATCGATTTTCTTTTAAAGATTTCGAAAATTTTCTTTTCTCAATCGCTTTCGTGTGCTCCAGATTGAAGCATGAAATCTTTTTTTTCGAGATTTTTTTAGCGTTTTGCATTCAAAAGTCGGTAATCTCGAAATTTCCAATCTTGATCTTTCCAGATTGTTCAAAACCAAAAACTTTTTACTTAAATCGCTTCTGTGACTTCCAGAACGAAGGAAAAAATCATTTTTGGCTCGAAATTTTCACAATTTCTTTTCATAAACAGCTTGAACTCGTTTCTTCATTTATAGCTGCTTCTTTAGCGAGCTTTAGGCAATCTGGAAATCTGGTTTTCTTCGATTTTCTTCAATTTTCATGAACTCCACCTGAAATCAACCCTTTTTTTTCACAGGTTTTAATTTAATTTTCCATTTTGGAATCTCGTTTAGTCAAAATCGATAATTTTTCTTTAAAAATCCCAAAAACGCTCAAAAATTTCGAGATCTTTTAAGAAAGCAAAAGAAATGTCTGAAATTGGCTGGATTCTTTGCTGTGTGCTCCAGAAGGCAAAAATAAGTTGAGACTAAAACATTAGGTGGCTGGCAAAGGTGATTTCTCGGCTCAAACTCGAACCATTCTAAAACCAACTTCTAAGAATTTCAATTTCCCCACCTAGTTCTAACTTCTTTAGCTCCTGTGCCTTCCAGTAAGACCAACGAGAGCGAAGAGTTTCCCATAGCAGACCCCCAAGCAGCAGAAAAGCGCGCAGCTCTGTTCGAAAGAGCACAGGTCCACTCATCCCTCTCCTCCCTTCTCCTCCCTTCTCCTTCCCATCCTTTTGATTCATCTCCATTCCCCTTTCATGTCCATCTTTCCCCATTTCACTGTCATCGCGATTTCCAAAAGGATTCGCATTCGCAAATATCGCCGACTCCGCAATGTCACAACAAAATTCTTTTTTTTTCCAAAATCGATTTGATCGCAAAACTTTTGTTGACTTTTTGTTTTGTGACTTCCAGATGGAGCTTTCGATTTGTGAAAATGATTCGTTTCCTTATGATTTTCGCTTAAAATTGTCTCCAGCAGAATCTCGAGTTTCCACTTTCATTCAAAATCGAAATTTCGCTAAACGTCTTGTGGCTTTTTGTTTTGTGACTTCCAGATGGAGCTTTCGATTTGTGAAAATGATTCGTTTCCTTATGATTTTCGCTTAAAATTGACTCCAACAGAAACTCGAATCTCGGACAATAAATCGTTCTTTGCGCTCTAACGTAAACTAAATCAATCTGGCACACCGAAACCCCCAATCTTTCTGGCGAGGTTAATCGTTCTTTGGGCTTAAACGTAAACTAAAACAATCTGGCACACGAAAATCCCAATTTTTCGGGCGAGAGATCGGTCGTTCTTTGCACGCCAACGTAAACTAAAACGATCTGGCACACGAAAATTCCAATCTTTCTGTCGAGGTTAATCGTTCTTTGGGCTTAAACGTAAACTAAAACGATCTGGCACAGCAAAATCCCAATTTTCCGGCTTCATTCAAAATCGAAATTTCGCTAAACTTCTTGTCGCTTTTTGTTTTGTGGCCTCCAGATGGAGCTTTCGATTTGAGAAAATGATTCGTTTCCTTATGATTTTCGCTTAAAATTGACTCCAGCAGAATCTCGAGTTTCCACTTTCATTCAAAATCGAAATTTCGCTAAACTTCTTGTCGCTTTTTTTCCCGTGCATGCCAGGATTTATCTTAAAATAAATCCCATAACTTCTCGAGTTACCATTTAAAAGATATTCAGCTCAACTCGAAACGTTTCAACAAAGCCAGCAAAATGAGCCAATTTCGCGCATTTTGCGGTGAAAATGGGAAAACGGGGTGGATGGTTGACACGTTCTCTTTGAGGGGCGAAGAGAAGAGCTATTTTTTTTGTGAGAAAAAGGAGACCAGTTTCCCCTCTCATCCCCTTCTCCAACAACAAGTGCTTGGGAAAAACGAGACATACCGCTGAGGGGAAATTTTTTCAAATTTATGCTCTTATTGTTTCCTGTGCTTTCCAGATGGAACCCTGAAACGATTGAAAATTATTTTTGCTTTGAAATCTCGAAGATATTCGGTCAGCTACGAAACTTTCAGCCTTTCAAGTGTTTTCCTGAAATTTTACCCTCTTTGCCCCTCAGGTTCTTTCGTTTTTTCGCCGAATTGGATATCACACTTGATTTTGAAGAGCTTTATTTGATGGAAATGAGCCGAGAAATTTTGGTCATTTTGGCTCAAAATTTTGGTGGTTCATTGAAATCGATCGATTTTTTACAATTGATTTACTCAAATTTTTTTAAAGCATAAAGCTGCAGTGACATCCAGGATGCACATCTAAGAAAGTAGAATTTCATTTAATCTCGAACGGACGACTTTTTCCTTTGGTTCAGTTACGCAACTTTGGTCAGCATTGACTTTTTTTGCTTTACACGTGAAAATTCTAGGTTTTTCTGAAAGCGTGCACTCCAGCTTGGTAATAGGCAAGAAATCAAGAAATGATCTTGACAAGAAACGCTAGAAATTCCCTCGGTTCAGTTACGCAACTTTGGTCAACTTTCATTTTAGTTTTCAAAGTAAAACTTTCACATTTTTTTGAAGAATGACTTCCAGCTTGAACGATGAGCTTCAAATCAAGACCTGCTCTTACCAAGAAGCGCTAGAAATTCCCACGGTTCAGTTACGCAACTTTGGCAGCATTGACTTTTTTTGCTTTACACCGGAAAATTCTAGGTTTTTCTGAAAGCGTGCACTCCAGCTTGGTAATAGGCAAGAAATCAAGATCTGCTCTTACCAAAAAACGCTAGAAATCGCCTCGGTTCAGTTACGCAACTTTGGTCAAGATTCATTTTGGTTTTCAAAGGAAAACTTTCACATTTTTTTGAAGAATGACTTCCAGCTTGAACGATGAGCTTCAAATCAAGATCTTCTCTTACCAAAAAACGCTAGAAATCGCCTCGGTTCAGCTACGCATCTCTCTCTTTATAAGAGATCTCTCTTTTTGATCTCTCTTTTGATCTCTTTTGATCTCTCTTTTTGTTGTTGAGTGAGTGACGATGGGCTTTGGGTCCCGCCCTTCATTAGAGTGTCCCCGACTTCTTTTTTTCAACGATGGGTCATAAAATGCGCGAATTTTCTCTTTCCCCATTTTTTCAGTCTTCCGTCGACCACATGGTGAACACTTGTTGATTGAACTCTTCGTTTTCCCGATTCTAAACCGTTTTTTCTTTTCTGTGACATCCAGAATGAAGCCCTGTATTCTTAAAATTTTTCTGGAATGGTAAAAATTTTGAAAAACTTTGGGATAAAATTTGCCCAAAATGAAAAATGAAAATTCTTGTTTTCACTTTGAATTTTTTACTCCATTTTCAACAGTGACATCCAGATCGGACAAACAATCATGAAAAAATTCATTCCAGCAAGTACAAGGCGGAATTTTTGACTCGGTTCAATTACCCAAGATTGACCTTTGTTAATTTGATTGTTGACGCTTAGCTCTCAAATTTTCTTTAAAGTGTGCGTTCCAGTTCAAGCAATCCATTTGGAATCAAGAACTTTGGCTTACTTAGAACGCATAAATTTGTCCCGGTTCAATTACCCAACTTTGACCCTTGTTAATTTGATTGTTAAAGCTTAGCTCTCATATTTTCTTTGAAGTGTGCGTTCCAGTTCGAGCAATAAATTTGGGATCGAGAAATTTCGCTTACTTAAAACGCCCAAATTTGTCCCGGTTCAATTACCCAACATTGACCCTTGTTAATTTGATTGTTAAAGCTTAGCTCTTATATTTTTCTTTAAAGTGTGCGTTCCAATTCGAGCAATAAATTTGGAATCAAGAGCTTTGGCTTACTTAGAACGCACAAATTTATCTCGGTTCAATTACCCGACTTTTTCCCTTATTAATTCGATTGTTGAAGCTTAGCTCTCATATTTTCTTTAAAGTGTGCGTTCCAGTTCGAGCAATAAATTTGGAATAAAGAAATTTGGCTTACTTAGAACGCATAAATTCGCCCTGGTTCAATTACCCGACTTTGACTCATACAATTCTTGTCATTTTTTCACAAAATTTCATTGATAAGCGATTGACTGCTGTTTTTCTCGAGGAATATTGTGATAAAGCTTAAATTTGCCGGCTCAACGAATTTCCGGTTTTGATAAATGCCAGGAGAGGGCATTGTTGAGAGCGAAAATTTTCTGCCCGCTGATTCATTGCCGAAATTTTATGGATTTTCCGATTCACCTAGATTTCCTTCTGATCTGGAACGCACACTAGGCAATAGAGCTGTAGACAATAGACAATAGACCATAGAGCTAAAGCGATTCCTATAGGAGCGTCACGTAGTCTAGTCTACACTCAAAAAAAAATTTTTTAATTTCGAAATTTTCGATAAAATTTTTGCTGCAGAGGTTCTTGTGCGTTCCAATTTGGCCTTTAAAATAGTTTTCGACTTAAAAATCCGACGTTTTCCTTTTAAAATTCGCCCAATCTTTTTCGGTTCATTTACCCAACTCCAGAGGAGACTCTGGGCTTAATTTGGGATCCTATTTGAGATCCGATTTGATACCCGATTTGCATATGAGAGCCGATTTGCATTTCGAGACAAGCTATAGCGATTCCTATAGGAGCATCACGTAGTCTAGTCTACACTCAAAAAAAAAATTTTTAATTTCGAAATTTTCGATAAAATTTTTTGCTGCAGAGGTTCTTGTGCGTTCCAATTTGGCCTTTAAAATAGTTTTCGACTTAAAAATCGCACGTTTTCCTTTTAAAATTCGCCCAATCTTTTTCGGTTCATTTACCCAACTCTAGGCTTAAGTTGAGATCCGATTTGAGACACGATTTGCATATGAGATCCGATTTGCATTTAAAAGCCCTCAAATTCCAGGCGCCACGAGTCCGCTGCAGCTTCGGCGACGCTCGAAAGCGCATTCGGACTTGGGACTGAGCCGGGACTCCCCAGCAACACCGACAAATCAAACTCCAAGAGACTCGAACGCGAATTCCCTCAACAACAACCCTCCAAACGCCACGAATCGTCTATCTGGCGCGCACAGCACCAATCAAAGCCATCACGTTGTCGGCGGAAGCCAAACTGGCAGCGACGCCACGATATCAAAGATGGACCCCGAAGTGGCGAGGTGAGTTTAGAATCAAAATCTTCCTCCGCTACTTTTCTCAAACCTCCCGTGACATCCAGGATTGCGAAATTTGAAAGAAAATTTGATTATTGACAATGCAAACTTTTAGAATAAACGCTCATCACAATCGGAGCCCCCAGCAAAAGGAATGGAACGGAAATTCTTGGGCCGATGATGCTAGAGGTTGATTTTTTGAAGCAAAACGGTCATCCTGGATGTCACGCTATCGTTTAACCTCAACTTTACATAGGATTACTGTAATGGTCTTACTGTAGCAGTCTTACTGTAGCTCTGGTATCCTATAAAGTACCGTAATTTTCAGAAACTGTCTTAGAAAGATTTTGACTCTGAATTTATGCATGCTGTGCTCCAGCTTAAAGCTAGAGATCGTTAGATTGGAGATTTACCTTGAAGATTTTCCTTTCCAGGCTCGGGAGCGAGTTCTGGAGTTGAGAGTCCACCCTCTGACATGCCTGCCTCGTCTATGGACTCGAATCTCTCAAATATCTATGATCGTTTTATCAAAGTAAGTAGATAATGCGGTAATCTGGATAATAATGGAAAGATATTGCTCAATTTTGGAAACAAACTCGGCAGTGAAATCGATTTTCGCTCTTTTCCTTCGGTTTAGTTACCCAACTTTGATCTTTTGTTCAAATTTTGATTCTCAACTCAAAATTTCTATAGTTTTCACCAGAGTGCTATCCAGGATGAGGGATAAACTGAAAAGAAACAAGATTAGTTGTAAAAGAGGCTGGAAATCGACCCAGCTCCGTAATCCAACTTTGACCCTTTTTCAATTTTGATTTGCAAGTCAAGATTTTTATAGTTTTCACTAGAGTGCTATCCAGGATAAGTGCTAAACTGAAAAGAAACATATATTTTTTGTAAAAGAAGCTAGAAATCGACCCAGCTCCGTAATCCAACTATGACCCTATTTCAATTTTGCTTCGTAGGTCAAAATTTTCATAGTTTTCACTAGAGTGCTATCCAGGAAGAAGGATAAACTGAAAAGAAACAAGATTAGTTGTAAAAGAACCCGAAAATCGACCCAGCTCACTTACTCAACTTTGACCCTATTTCAAATTTTGATTTCCAGATCAAAATTTAACTTTCTTTTGAAAGAGTGCGTTCCAGATCAAGCAAAAACCTAAAAATAAAGCGAATTTGTTCACAGGTAGCGCTAAAAACTGTTCCCGTTCAGTCATCCAACTTTAATAAGTTTTTTTCTGAACATTTTTGACCTCAAAGAATCGGAATTCAAATCTAAGCCTTTCTCAAATCTAAAACCTAACAATTCTTATCTATTTCAAGGCTTATTTCTTTAGGCAATCGAGCGCCACGAGATTCACGATCAACCCGATTTGAGGACAAAGCTGCGAATCATGCGATGGATGAATGGACATCAAGAGGTTGGAAATGAGATCAAATTGGGTTTTGCGGATGTGGACGGGTCGATCTGGATGTCACACAAGAGAATGCATGCTTTAGTTGCACGTTTTGCTAACATTTGTATCTGGTCAGTTATAGCATGGATCAACTACCGTACACCCTAGTGATCGATTTGCTAGAATCCAGTTTTTATTAGCTGAATATCTTCTAGTGACATCCAGGAGGAGCAAATATTCAATTGAAAATAGGGGACACACATTGAATTTCCGAAAATCAGACCCAGTCCTGTTCTGTCTGTTGTCTGCTGTGATAATTTAACGTTCAAAAGAGACCAAATTGGGTTTTCGGACGTGGATCGGTCAATCTGGACGTCACACAAGAGAATGCATGCTTTTTTGCACGTTTTGCTAGCATTTGTATCTGGTCAGTTATAGCATGGATCAACTACCGTACACCCTAGTGATCGATTTACTCAAATCAAGTTTTTATTAGCTGAATATCTTCTAGTGACATCCAGAAGCATCAAATATTCAATTAAAAATAGGGGACACACATTGAATCTCCGAAAATCAGCCGCAGTCCTATTTTGTCTGTTGTCTGTTGTGATAATTTCTCGTTCCCCGCTTTATTTCACTTCCAAGTTTCAAATTGACTTCCAGAACCTGCAAATCAATGTTAAAAGTTTTTGTTTTTACGTAAATTAACGGATTTTTCCTTGCCTGAAATCTTGAGCCCCTTTCAGGCCGGGGTTGAGGGTTGGTGGAACGCAAGGAATGTGCCTTGCCCACCTTTTGTCCCTCCCCCTCCCCCCATCCCTTTTGCACCGACTTCTTTCCTGTCGGTAAACTTGTGATGGATGGATGGGAACGGCTTGTGCTGTGAGGGGGAAAGGTAAAAATCCATCTCGATCCCATCCCGCCCCAAGTTTCCTCGATTGCACGAACACGGGTTTCCAGTGGAATAAAATCGATATTTTGTCGGCGTGCTATCCAGATCGTAGAAAAGTGATCTCAAAAAAACGATGAACAACAAAAATTTGTTTAAAATTGAGCCATTCTTGATCAAAATAACTCCAAATTTTAAATGGCTAAAATCGTTGAAAGTAAAATACGGATTTGCTGTGGTGACATCCAGAATTGACATCTAAATTGTTTTTAAATTCAAATTTACATTCTTGGTGGAGATTTTGAACCATTCTTGATCGTTAATAATTCCAAATTTTAAATGGCTGAAATCGTTAAAAGTAAAATACGGAATTGCTGCCGTGACATCCAGAATTGGCATCTAAATTGTTTTTAAATTCGAATTTACATTCTTGGCGGAGATTTTGTGCCATTCTTGATCGTCAAAAACTGCAAATTTTTAAATGGCTAAAATCGTTGAAAGTAAAATACGGATTTGCTGTGGTGACATCCAGAATTGACATCTAAATTGTTTTTAAATTCAAATTTACATTCTTGGCGGAGATTTTGAACCATTCTTGATCGTTAATAATTCCAAATTTTTAAATGGCTAAAATCGTTAAAAGTAAAATACGGATTTGCTGCCGTGACTTCCAGAATTGACATCTAAATTGTTTTTAAATTCAAATTTACATTCTTGGCGGAGATTTTGAGCCATTCTCAAGACCCTCAACAAACGTAGCGTCTCGTAGTGTTTCTGAACTTCTGATCACCCCTAAAACAAGCCATGATCAAAATTCTAAATAAATGTTAAACGTTCTAATCCCTTTTCGAGATGGTGGCGCCATGCCATCACCAAATTCGGAAATTCGAGCCGTCCCCTCCCCGCGTGTCGTCGCCTCCATTTAGGACTGGGCCTCGTGGCCGCTTTAGGGCCAAAATCTCCCGTGCAAGTGGGATGCTTTTCGCAAACTGGATGTCACTTTAATGATTCCCGCTTTTAGTTTGCAAAAATTTTCAACTTTAGCCAATTTTTTATCTTTGAAATATCAAAATTTGAATTTTCTCCCAAATTTGCATTTTTCTCCAAATTTGCATTTAAACCCATAAAGCCATTAATTTTCTTTTAAATTTGCATTTAAAATCAATTAAATTAGCATTTAAAATCATTTAACGACATTTTTCGCATTTTTGTTTACACTCACGAGCCACTACGTTACGCTTAGCTGAGTGAGACGAAAGAAAAGAGCACTGATCAAAACGATCACTGCCAAAAGGCGGGGTGAGCTCCAGGATAAAAGAAAAACACGCAAAAGTGGCCGTATTGAGCACGACCGGGGAGCAAGAGGCGAGAGCTCAACTCAACGAAGAGGACTGGGTGGATTGGAATGCGGCGACAGCTGTGCCCACATTTTCGGCCCCTTTTTCCCGCATGTTGGAAGTCACCAGAGCTGATTGCCTTTTTGACTTTTGCTGTAGCCGATTTCGATCCAACTTCGCAATATGAACGTTTAGATCGCTAGCTGGACTCAGAAAAAACTCCCTAATCTCTAATATTCGCATTTTTTCGCTTCCAATCACTCTAGTGAGCTCCAGGATCGCCGAAAATGTACGAAAATTCGAATTTGATGACGGCTAGCCTGCCACCGGCGTACCAGTCCGTTGCGAACACGTCGAAGCAACGAAGGCGGATGAGTGGCGGCCACGAGATCCGTCCCGAACTATCAATGGCGTCGAATTCGACATCGATTCACGATTTTCACGGGATACCGATCGATCCACTGCTTTATTCGGCTATTCGACACTTTCGTCCAATCAGTCAAACCCAGCCGCAGCCTGAGACGAGGTAAAATTTTTAAATCGAAAATTTTCAAAAACTTTTTTTTCCCTTCTCTTTTGTGCCTTCCAGCTTGGTCGAAAATCGTCTTTTTATGGCCATTCGGCTTTCTGAATAAGGCGAGAAAGCTTGTGTAAACAAAATCGACTCAGAATTGGAGATGAAGGAAAAATGTTGGGGCTTTTTTTGACTCAAAACGATCAAATGTCTCTTTGTTGTCTTTATTCAGCCTTTTTGAATTCAAATTTGAATTAAGTCAACTAAATTAGCATTTAAGAGGCAATTTGCATTTAAATCATCGAAATTAACATTTAAGAGGTAATTTGCATTTAAGCCAGCTAAATTAGCATTTAAGAGGCAAATTGCATTTAAATCAGCGAAATTAACATTTTAAAGGAAATTTGCATTTAAACCAGCTAAATTAACATTTAAGAGGTAATTTGCATTTAAACCAGCTAAATTAACATTTTAAAGGAAATCTGCATTTAAATCATCGAAATTAGCATTTAACTGGCAATTTGCATTTAAATCATCGAAATTAGCATTTAACTGGTAATTTGCATTTAAATCATCGAAATTAGCATTTAAGAGGGAATTTGTATTTAAGCCAGCTAAAAGGGCGAAATAACATTTAAGGTTTTAGCCAGCTAAATTACATTTTAACGAATTTCATTTAAACCAGCGGAATTAGCATTTAAGAGGGAATTTGTATTTAAGCCAGCTAAATTAACATTTAAGAGGTGATTTGCATTTAAATCAGCGGAATTTGCATTTAAGAGGAAATTTGCATTTAAATCAGCGAAATTAACATTTAAGAGACAATTTGCATTTAAGCCAGCTAAATTAACATTTTAAACGAAATTTACATTTAAACCAGCGGAATTAGCATTTAAGAGGCAATTTGCATTTAAACCAGCTAAATTAACATTTAAGAGGTGATTTACATTTAAACCAGCGGAATTAGCATTTAAGAGGCGATTTGCATTTAAGCCAGCTAAATTAACATTTAAGAGGCAATTTGCATTTAAACCAACCAAATTTGCATTTAAAATTTTGGTTTTTGAAAGATTTTGACTTTTTTTTAAAAACCTTGCTTCTATGCCTTTTTCTTATTGTAAAACTCATCTGTGACATCCAGAATCGCCAAAAAAATTCCCCAAATCAGATCCGGACGCTCGATTATCCCCTACACGACGCGCCACTCCGATTCCGGGTTCTCGTCAGTGTCCGGCACGGGAAAAGGTATTTATAAAGGAAATAAAGCTAAAAGAAATGCGGCTTCTATCGTTTTTGAAAGCCACTTGAAGCCAATTCGACAATTGAATCAACAATTGATTCAACAATTCCCCAGCTTACTCGAATTTCACGATTTCTCAGACTGTTACTCGTCGCACTCGTCGTGCTCACTCCTTCCCCCGCCGCCTCCCTATCGCCATCCTGCGTCACGTTCTCATCAAACTGGACGTCACCGCATCCATCGCTCGTTTTCCGACTCGAAATATCAACAAGCGTCGGCTTTACTCCCAACGAGTCACTCAATGGCTCTTGAGGCAGCCCGAAAACTCCGTGGCGCTTCGTGGCAACAATCGCGCGCCTCTGTCACCAGCTATGAGCCAAATGTAAGCCAGGATTTGCCTTTCTTTTGGACTTGCACGGGAATTTGATCGTTATGCAAATTTGCAGTGGTTTGCAGTGCACGACTAAGCCAACTTCATGAATTTCTAAGTAAGCTGCAAAATACCGACTATAATCCTTCTAGTGAGCTCCAGGATTAACGTTTCTAGCAAAAGTTTCGATTTCTAGCCAATCCTGACGCTTTTCCGGTGGTTTACAGTGCACGGTTAAACCAACTTCATTAATTTTTAAGTAAGCTGCAAAATTCCGACTACAATCCTCCTAGTGAGCTCCAGGATTAACGACTCTAGCAAAAGTTTCGTTTTTTAGCCAATCCTGACGCTTTTCCGGTGGTTTACAGTGCACGATTAAGCCAACTTCATGAATTTCTAAGTAAGCTGCAAAATACCGACTACAATCCTCCTAGTGAGCTCCAGGATTAACGTTTCTAGCAAAAGTTTCGATTTCTAGCCAATCCTGACGCTTTTCCGGGGCAATACTCCATCCGAGAGCCAAGTATGATACTTATTTGTAGAAAAAAAGCCCTTTTTCCAGCAAATTCTTTGCTCAATCTCCCCTGTGCCTTCCAGAAAAGGCTTTCCCCTCATTGCCCGGGGTGGATGATTGCCCCTTGTGATGCTTATTCGAGATAGATTTCCGCCCCACCTCTCCTCTTCCACCTCCTCTTCCAGTGCGTTCAACCTCTCCTCTCCCGCATTCAGATTTATTGTTTAGGGTTTTCCTGAGGATCCTGAGGATCCAGAGGAGAATACTCGATCAAATAAGCCTTTAAAAAATCAGCAACTTTTATTTTTCAGACAATTTTTTTGAGTCAAAATCCGGAATTTGCAAAATTTCTAAAAAATTTTTTAAATTTAAAATTTTAGTTTTTTTTCTTTTTCTTTGTCTTTCTTGACTTCCAGATCGCTCAAAAAACTCAAAATTTTTTAAAAATTTCGAATTTTTAAAGAAATTTTGATTCGAACTCGAAACGGAATACTGAAATTTTTAAACCAGTATTTACAAGTTTTTCTTCAACGATTCTTTCTTTGTGCGTTCCAGTTTGGACGTTTTTAGCAAAAGTTAGCCTCTTGGAGCTCTTCAGCGGTGCGGATCGTTCCAGCTCAATTAGGGAATGCAAATTGAGAGAGGAGTTCAACCCCTTCTCTTCCTCTCCCTTGTCCAGTCAAAAATGAGCTGCTCTAGGGCTGGCTGTTGCCTCCTGAAGACCCTTGTGGTCACCAATAAAACCCGGGGATAGGGAAAGACGGAGAAATGAGCGGGAGTCTTTGGCTAGGATATTGGCTCCGACGACGAAAAGACTCGGCGGCTTTTCGCCGAAAATGGTAGCAATTTTTGAACTTTTTTTTTCGCTTAGAATCGATCCTGGGTGTCACTGCGCCGATTGGCAAAGAAAGTTTTTCTAAAAGCTTTGTTTTTGAGAAGTTGATTTTGACAAATCGAGTTCTGTTGAATTTTTTGGTTTTTCCATGGTGGATCAACTTTTTCCAAATGCTCAGAATCGATCCTGGGTGTCACCGCGCCGATTAGTAGGGAAAGTTTTTCAAAAAGCTTTGTTTTTGAGAAGTTGGTTTTGACAGATTCAAGTTCTGTTGGCAGAGTAGGCAGAGCAACATTTCTAGAGTAGGTGCTCAAGCCGATCTATTATTCTAGAAATGCTATATGACATCCAGCTTACGGTCTGGATAATTCAGTTTTTAGATTTTAACCTTTAGTTAAAAGATATTCAGTCAAAGTCGAAAATCGGGTTAGTAATTGACCAATTCGCTGTTTGACCCAGATCTATTATTCTAGAAATGTTATGTGACATCCAGTTTAAGGCCTGGGTAATTCAGTTTTTAAATTTTAACCTTCACTTAAAAGATATTCAGTCAAAGTCTGTTTTGTCAAAGTTTTCCAAGGTAAGTCAACTTTTTTCAAAGTCTCATTTCCCAAATTGGATGTCACTTTTTTTCGAATCCGGTTTTTGGGAATTCGAAAGAGGCATTTGGGGAACTCTTTGAAGCTTTGGGCCTCTTTGAAGCTTTGGACCTCTTTGGAGAAGGCCCGAGGAAACAATTCGATTATCCTTTAGCCAAAAACAATCGTCTTCGCGGGGCAAAGAGACCAGATTGAGGCCAAAAAAAGCCAAGCTGGAGCTCAGGCTAGCGATTGGAGCGGATTAGTTGCGGAAATTTTTGAGAAAAAATGGGTTTGGCTTTTTTGGCTTTCTGGTGTAAGGTGTAGCTGCTCGGAATTTTTAAAGTCGTTTTTTTGCTAAACTTTTTCAATTTTTCTTAGCTGTGACATCCAGGATCAACGAAAATTTCTTTCATTTCTTGGCCGCTTTTCGGAGAGCCGAGAAATAGCCGACCAATTGATCCGACCAAGCTCGGAATTTTTAAAGTCGTTTTTTGTTAAACCTTTTCAATTTTTCTCGGCTGTGATATCCAGGATCAACGAAAATTTCTTTCATTTCTTGGCCGCTTTTCGGAAAGCCGAGAAATCGTCGACCAATTGATCAAACTTGTTGTGGCTGGGTTTTTTCCCCGAAAATTTCCCTCAGCACCCGGTTTTTCTTGTTTGCCTCCAAAATTGGTATCCAGGATCTCTTTTTTCGCTCTCGCTTTCCTTTTTTGTCACTCACAAATCTCTGTTTACTCAATTCGATAATTTATGCGTTTATGCAGTTTAACAAATTTTTGACAAAAATTTTTTGGATAGTTTTTTTTCATTTTTTTCATTTTTTTTCATTTTTCCTTTTCGTGATATCCAGCCTTGTCAAAAATTCAATTTTTTATTTAATTTAGTTGAAAAAATTTTGAGAAATCTTGTTGAACTCTTTTGTGTCTAGTGTGCCTGCTTGAAATTGTTGAGTTTCGTGTTTCTAATCAAGCCACCTTTAAGTGTGACATCCAGATCGACGATTCGCATTTCTAGAAATGAAAATTTCCATTCCAGAGCCCCTCACCGTCTATGAGTACGGTCTCCTGTCCCGACTACCCGGAGTTGCAGGAAAAATTGAATCGACTTTCGATGGCCAGGGATAGCCTGGCGTTGCAGGTTTGTTTAAAAGCAAAAAAGAAACGACTGTGACTGCTGGAGAAGGGGTTTAAGCCGTTCAAAGAAAAAAAACCCGGTTCAATTACCCAACTTGAAATTTGGATAATAGGAAAAATCGGAAATTCGTTTTTTTTTCAAAAATGGATTGATGGCCGTTATTGTTTGGATTTCTTTTTTTTTCAGGTAGCTGTTCTCACTGAGCAAGTCTCTGCACAAAAGGAGAAAATCCGGGATCTAGAAGCGATTGTGACAGCAAGCAGAGGAAAGCAAGGCTCCCATAACGATCTCGGCACACTAGAGGTGAGCGGAGCAAAGGTTTTCGAAAGTCTCAAACGGATTTCCCAATCCTGGAGCGCACAGCGCAAAATCTGGCACTCAAGATTTTCTGAGCGATTAAAAACGTTTTCATTTTTCCAAGAAAACTTAGCTTGACAGTTTAACATTTTTTGGATAATACAAAAAACGATTTTTGGCTTTTTTTTGGCTAATCTGGAAGTCACTACGTAAATTGAAAAGTTTAAAAAAGTCTTAGACAAATTTTAAAAAAAAAATTTTGCTAAAACTTAGCTTGACAGTTTAACATTTTTTGGATAATAGAAAAACGATTTTTGGCTTTCTTTTTTGGCTAATCTGGAAGTCACTACGTAAATTAAAAAGATTAAAAAAAAGTCTTAGACAAATTTTTAAAAAAAATTTTTTTTTACGGTTCAGTCTCTAAGTCTGCAAGACAATAGAGGTGAGCGGAGCAAAAGTTTTCGAAATTCTCAAACGGATTTCCCAATCCTGGAGCGCACAGCACAAAATCTGGCACTCAAGAATTTCTAAGCGCTTAAAAACGTCACGAAACCTTAGCTTGATCGTTTAACATTTTTTGGATAATAAAAAAACGATTTTTTGCTAATTTTTCGCTAATCTGGAAGTCACTACGTAAATTAAAAAGATTAAAAAAAGTCTTAGACAGATTTTAAAAAAAAAATTTGCTAAAACTTCGCTTGATCGTTTAAGAGTTTTGGATAATAGAAAAACGATTTTTGACTAATTTTTGGCTAATCTGGAAGTCACTACGTAAATTAAAAAGATAAAAATATAAAAATAAGTAACTTAAAAATAAGAGACATGGAACCAAATTTGTTGAGATAGGGAACCTAAGCTAAAGAGATGGGGAACCTAAGCTAAAGAGATAGGGAACCAGATTTAAAGAGATAGGGAACCAAGCCAAACATCCACCAATTTTTATGTAGGAAACTGGTGGGAGTTTTGCGTTGATTGCTGATTGCTAAAGTGACGTTGATTGCTGATTTCTGAGCGCTTAAAAAGCTCTGAAAACTTCTGAAAACCTAGCTTGACAGTTTAACATTTTTTGGATAATAGAAAAACGATTTTTGGCTTTTTTTTGGCTAATCTGGAAGTCACTACGTAAATTAAAAAGATTAAAAAAAGTCTTAGACAGATTTAAAAAAAAAATTTGCTAAAACTTCGCTTGATCGTTTAAGAGTTTTGGATAATAGAAAAACGATTTTTTACTAATTTTTGGCTAATCTGGAAGTCACAACGTAAATTAAAAAAATAAAAATAAGCCTTAAACAAATCAAAAAAAAAAATTTTTTTTTACGGTTCAGTCTCTAAGTCTGCAAGATACTAGAGGTGAGCGCAGCAAAGGTTTTCGAAATTCTCAAACGGATTCCCCACTCCTGGAGCGCACAGCGCAAAATCTGGCACTTCGAAATTTCTTAAAGCGCTTAAAAACGTTTTCACTACCACGAAAACTTAGCTTGATCGTTTAACATTTTTGGATAATAGAAAGACGATTTTTGACTAATTTTTGGCTAATCTGGAAGTCACAACGTAAATTTAAAAAATAAAAATAAGCCTTAAGCAAATTTTTAAAAAAAATTTTTTTTTACGGTTCAGTCTCTAAGTCTGCAAGAAGAGGCCGATATTGACTTCAAGAAAATGGATTTGATTGCCGAGGTTTGCAAATTGGAGTGCATGCAATAACCCGGAAACGTTTTTTGTTGTTTTTTTGACGAAAATGAAATTTTGGGTTACGGTAACGAGGTCACTTTTTAGGTGAGTAACCTCAAGCTGAAGTACGCGTCGCTGGAGAGGGAGAAAAGCGACACCGAGAGGAAGCTACGAGTCTCCCAGGTGGATAGCATCAAAGCTAACGTTGGGCTATTAGAAATAAATCACGACAAAACTACAGTAATCCAAGCCACTAATGAGTCTGAGCTAAAATTTACATAATTTCTCAATCAAAGACCTAAGATTTTTGAATTTTTGTTAATCCTGGAGGTCACACTATGTAATGAAATGCTTTTGGAGTACTGTAGAGCGAAATTGAACTACAGTACTCGTCCAAAACGAGTTTAAGGCTAAATTTTCATAATTTCTCAATCAAAGACCTAAGATTTGGCAACCATTGCTAATTCTGGAGGTCACACTATGTAATGAAATGATTTTGGAGTACTGTAGATCGAAATTGAACTACAGTACTCGTCCAAAACGAGTTAGAGCGAAAATTTTCATAATTTCTAGATCAAAAACCTAAGATTTAGCAACCATTGGCAATCCTGGAGGTCACACTATGTAAAGAAACGATTTCCAGAACGAGATCGAGCGGTTGGCGGATTGTCTGCACGGGATCGGCCCATCTCCGTCAATGATTCAATCATCAACTGCCGTCTCTCACCAAAACGGCCCCCCACCGCCAAATCCCTATGCCCAAATGGCGCAAAGGACCGAGAAGCAACGTGAGTGGAAAAGAGAGACAAAAGTCTTTTACCGGTGTTACCGGTAACTTCAAAACTGAGGCTGGGCAGAGTAGGCAGAGCAACATTTCTAGAGTAGGTGCTCAAGCCGATCTATTATTCTAGAAATGTTATGTGACATCCAGCTTAAGGCCTGGGTAATTCAGTTTTTAGATTTTAACCTTCATTTAAAAGATATTCAGTCAAAGTCGAAGATTGAGTTTAGTACTTGACCAATTCGCTGTTTGGACCAGATCTATTATTCTAGAAATGTTAAGTGACCTCCAGCTTAAGGCCTGGACAACTCAGTTTTTAGATTTTGGCCTTTAGTTAAAAGATATTCAGTCAAAGTCGAAAATCTGGTCTAGCACTTGATCTTTTGGGCTTTTGGCAGCTCAAAGTGATCTCTTTTGCTTTTTAGAAGACGAGATGGAGCATTTGAGACACGCGGTCACCCGTTTGATCGCCGACAATGAAGCAAAGAATGTGCAGATCAACAGTTTGAGGAACGCTTTGGATGAGCATTGTAGACAGAGGTAAATGGGGGAAAAAAGCAAGCCAACCCTACGATTATTGACCATCCCAGAGCGCACACTTTCAGGGACGACTGCTATGCGGCTCCAGTGAATGGGAGCAGTGCGAACTGGCCCGATCGACCCCATCAGCCCCATTATGACATCAATGCGCAGCTCAGGCGATTGCTAATGGTTCGTGAAAATTATTTTTCGGCGTTCTGGAGCGCACACGGGATATTGGCTTTTGAAATTTTTGAATTATATTTATTTTACGATTTTTAGGATGAGCCGCTAGAGATGGCGCACTCTACCTCGTTCCCGATGAGTCTCTGCTCGTCAACTCACGGCCCTGATAGGCGCAGTGCGGTCCAGGTTCGGTTATTTTAGGAAATAAGCGAGATATTTGATCAGGAGCCAGAGCAAAAGGCTGATTTTGAATTTCAACTCAATGGGGTACGGTAGCTGAGGGCGCGCTTTAGAAAATGGACATGAAAAGGGTGATTTTTTTGATAAAATTGAGCATTCTGGAACTCACAAGACATGCTAAGACAGTTTTCAACTTATTTTGAGCAATTTGAATTTTAAGACAAAAGGGAGTAGGGTAGCTGGGGGCGCGATTTAGAAAATGGACATGAAAAGGGTGATTTTTTGACAAAATTTGGGCATTCTGGAACTCACAAGACATGCTAAGACAGTTTTCAACTTATTTTGGGCAATTTGAATTTTAAGACAAACGGGATTACGGTAGCTGGGGGCGCGCTTTGGAAAATGGGTATGAAAAGGGCGATTTTTTGACAAAATTTGGGCATTCTGGAAGGCACAAAATATGCTGAGACAGTCAAAGATCGCTAAAATTCCAATAGTTTGCACCTACCGTACCCCAATCTCAAAAGTTACCGTATCCCTTGAAATCCGTCGGTTTTCGCTTATGTGACATCCATTTTTAGTCCTCCTCTTCCTACACGTCATCCCTGTCAACGGCCTCGCCGCAACACTCGTGGTCTCAATCGGGCACGCCGAGTCGCTCGCACAACCTCCTACATCCACAGGCACAACAAATCGCAAAGTGAGTCGGGAATCCTGCAGCGTTTGGGGAATCCTGGGGCGCACAAGAGACAAGAAAAGCATAAGAAATTGATTGTAGAAGGGAGAAAGGAACTGCTCGAGTACTGTACTGTGTACTGTACTGTACTGTACTGAGTACTGTACTGTACTGTACTGAGTACTGTACTGTACTGTACTGAGTACTGTACTGAGTCCTGTACTGAGTACTGTACTGTACTGAGTTATCGATTTTCCAGTTACCGATCCCCGTCATCGCCAGCAGCCCGTCAACTAGCCGCCGAATTGGACGAATTGCGGCGTTTAGGCGATCATATCAATCATCAACATCACTTTGCATCAACCACGTTGCCACGAGGAATGGGAGTGAAAGTGGGCATTAGATTTGCAAAGAATTAACTGCAAAATCGTTAATACAATTGTAAAATGGTTAAAACGTAAAAACCAAACTCGTCACGATGTAGTTTAGGTCTTTTTTTAAAATCCAACAGTTAAGTTTTAACGAAAATATCTATCTATTCTTTTTTGTCAGGCAATTTAAGGTTTTTCGTGTTTTTTTCAGCGCAGATCCTTCTATTTTAAATATTTTGATTATCATTCGATGCAGAGCCAAATTCTGCGTCGAATGACACCAAAACGAGCTCGAAAGATAATATCTACGCAAAGTTATGAGGCAAAAGGTAAAGTGGGTGGGGCTTAGGTTTTTAGCCAGTAACTTTGCAAGGTTCTAACATTTTGAGTTGATTTTGGTGTCATTCGACGTGGAATTCGATTCTGCGTCGAATAACTCCAAAAACAACTCAAAACCTAATATCCACGCAAAGTTATGAGGCCACAAAGTTATGAAGGCCCATAGTAGGCGGGGCTTAGGTTTTCAGCCCACAATTTTGTGTGGATATTAGATCTTGCGCTCGTTTTGGTGTCATTCGACGCAGAATGAAATTGCGCTTCGAATGACACCAAAATCAACCTCAAATATGGTATCAATGCAAAGTTACTGGCTAAAAACCTAGGCCCCGCCCACTTTACTTTTTGCCTCATAACTTTGCGTAGATATTATCTTTTGAGCTCATTTTGGTGTCATTCGACGCAGAATTTGGCTCTGCATCAAATGATAATCAAAATATTTAAAATAGAAGGATCTGCGCTGAAAAAAACACGAAAAACCTTAAATTGCCTGGCAAAAAAGAATAGATAGATATTTTCGTTAATTGCACTCTATTGTACTACCAGTAGCGAAAGTATAGGGTCACTTTGAAGATACTAGATTGAAGTTTTAGCGTTTACCGATCAATTCCCAACTTTCCTAGGCGGCTTCAACGTTGGCGATTCCCGGGAAAAAGCTCAGCGTCGCCTCGTCCACCGGAACGGCGGGTGAGAGAAATTCGGCGGAAACAGGCAGCCAAACGGCCACGAACAGCCAAGCTGGCTCGCAGATTGGCCGCCGAAATCTAAAGAAATGGCTCTCGCACACCCTAGGACGACAACGAAACAAGAAGCGGGCGATCTCGGTCCCGAATCTAGGTTTGGTGTGCCCCGTAGACGGTTTTGGGTTTGATTTTCACTCATCCTGGAGCGCACAGTGGCCATTTTTCTTGTTAGAATCACGATTTTTTGATGTTTTCAAAATTTTGAAATAACAAAGCGTTCACACTGACATTTCTCACTCAAAATTTGTCAAAATCCAAATTTTTATATTTTTTTGTCAATCCTGGAGCGCACACAATGCGTATTTTGGGTTTAATTTTAATTTTAATCACTTCCTGCAAATGAGTACTGTAGCTAGGACACCCTTTAGAACCTGGAGAACCTGGAGAACCTTTAGAACCTTTAGAATATCAAGATAACTCATTTTCTTCTCTAGTTCGTGCCGCCGAAGAGCCCTTGCGTGAGTTTATCCATAAAATCCTAATAGTCAAACTAAAAACCATCGTTGTCTCGTTCGTCATACGGTAGTTTATCCAAAGAAGGGCTTTCGATCAAAAATTCCGAAATAGCTTCTCCCAGGAGCTAAGATTCTTTAATTTTTGTTAATCCTGGAGGTCACACTATGTAACGAAATGATTTTGGATTACGGTAGATCAAAATTGAAATACCGTACTCGTCCAAAACGAGTTTGAGACTAGATTTTGATAATTTCTCAATCAAAGACCTAAGATTTGGCAACCTCAATTCGGAGTCACCTATGAAATGAAATCTTGGATTACGTAGTCGAAATTGACTACAGTATCGTCCAAAACGGTTTAAGGCTAAATTTTGATATTTCCTGAAGAAAGCCCTAAGATTCTTTAATTTTTGCTTATCCTGGAGGTCACACTATGTAAAGAAATAATTTTGGATTACGGTAGATCGAAATTGAACTACAGTAGTCGTCTAAAACGAGTTTAAGGCTAAATTTTCATAATTTCTCAATCAAAGCCCGAAGATTCTTCAATTTTCGCTAATCCTGGAGGTCACACTATGTAAAGAAACGATTTCCAGAACGAGACCGAGATTCTAATTTTTTGGTCAAAATATGCAAATTTTTTGGTTTCTGTCCTTTCCCGTTTCTTGTTTCGTCAACGTTCCGAATTTGGTGTGCAGAGGTGAAAACTAACAATTCCTCGATGTTCTCAACCATTTTGGCATATCAATAAATCGGGATTTCTGCTTTAAATGCTAATTTTTACAAACGAAAATTCCAGTCGAGAGCGACGACGAAGTGGCGAGAGGACGGGGGCTACCCTTGGCTCACAATCGTCAAAATGTAAATTTAAACATTTTTTTTGGCCGATCTGGAAGTCACAGCAGCTTCTGTGCGAATTTCCGACTTGAATTTGAGATTTTTTAAAAAATTTTTTTTTACGAGAGGACTGGGGGCTACCCTTGGCTCACAATCGTCAAAATGTAAATTTAAACATTTTTTTGATCGATCTGGAAGTCACAGCAGCTTTTTTTTGCGAATTTCAGACTTTAATTTGAGATTTGAAAATTTTTCAAAATTCATTTCCATCAAAATCCTATGAACACTTGAAAGTCCGTCAGAGTACTGTTTACACTCCAGTTTCAATCACAACCCTTCAAAATCCCGCCTTCCTTTCAGTAGACCCGTCATTTAAACGCGATCGCACGCGGAGCAGTCTGCGGAATTTGTTCTCAAAGCTGACCAGGTCCTCGTCCCAGGATCACCACCAATTCCGACGCGGCTCTCAAGCAAGGTCGGTTTTTTTTGGCTCTAACAGCAATCTGGAGCTCACTAGAGCGATAGCTTCCACTAGAATCAAAAAAAGAAAAAATAAAAATTTTTTTTAAAATCGATATCCATCAAAAGTTTGTCTTTGTCAAATTGTTAAATTTGACAAATTCTAGATTTCTGTCTTCCTGGTGACCTCCAGCATTGACGATTTTGGTGTTTATTTCGAATTTCAGATCAACGTCAGCCGCTCGATTGGGTGGATCGGGTCCTCTATCTGGCGCAATCGCCCTCAGACCGGCTGTCTCCCATTTCGTCGATTGGAAAAGCGAGCAGATTACTGAGTGGATCGGTGAGTGATGGAGAGATTCCAAGGCTTGAATCTGGCTAGCTTTGCCTGGCCTGGCCAGCTCTAATTTCTCATCTCAATTTCTGTGTCACACATCGAATCATGGGAATCCAAAATTTGGTTTTAGTGAAAAGCTGAAGCCTTGAAATTCTAGTGTGACACCCAGATTGAAGGAAAAACGCAATTAAAATCAAATTATTCTAGCCGATTTTTCGGAATCATCGCAAACTCTTGACAGTCCACTCTGCAGTCACTATTTTAGCGAAAATCAAAAATCTGAATCCTAAAAATTCTAGAGTGACATCCAGATTGAAAGAAAAACTCAAATAAAATAAAATTATTCTAGCCGATTTTTTAAAATCATCGCGAACTCGGTGCATCAAATTTTCAATTTTTCTAAAAAGATTTCAAAAATCTGAATCCTAGAAATTCTAGTGTGACATCCAGATAGAAGAAAAAAACGTGATTTAAAGAAAATTGGCTTTGCCAATTTTTCGGAATCATCGCAGACTCTTGACAGTGTTCGTGTTCGCGATGGTTCCGAAAAATTGGCAAACCCAATTCTTTTTCAATTGCTTTTTTTCTTCTATCTGGAAGTCACACTAGCATTTTTCGGCTTTGGTTTCACACGTTCTCAAAGATGAAAATTTCAGGAGAGATCGGTTACCCACAATATCAGCCCGAAGTGTCCGAGGTGGTTCGATCGGGTCGACATTTGCTGAATATGAATGCCGATGAATTAGAGAGGGTACAGTTACAGTAATCCTCAAGAAATCGCGTCAATAATAGAGCCAAAGTTACGGTAGAGCTCTGCCTTATAGAGGCTCGTTCCACGACAGTTACAGTAACCCTTAGATAGAGTTATCGTAGTCTTTAGCGCCGGAAAGTTACAGTAACCTTCTTTAGGAGCTAGGCATCAAAAACCCGCTTCATCGAAAACGCATTTTGCTTATTTTACGCCGAATCGAGGAGGACGTGCTGGAGCCGGTCGACAAATTTGATCTGCATCAGGTTTTAAGGGTTTTTTTTGAGTGCTGTGACGTCCAGCTTAGGTTTTGCGATGGTTGGAAGACGTCGGTTTACCCCAATACAAGGACACCTTCGCCGAATATTTGATCGACGGGATCACCCTCGAGCATTTGACGGCTGCAGACATTGTTGAGGTGAGCAAAGGGTGACGTGTGCTCCAGATTGGTGATTGGAGCGAAGTGGAACCCTCGAGCAAGTCAGAGAAGCGAGCTTTCGCTTTGAAAGCCTTCGACCAAAAACCAGCTTCGCTGAGTTCTTCAGAAATTCATCTAAATTCATCTAAACCACCGTCGTTCTTTACTGTGCGTTCCAGAATCACTAAATTCCAGATGCGAATCACGAACGGATCGCACTACGCAACGCTTTGCCGAAGTATCCAATTCCTCAAGGCCGTCAATTTCCGACCGCAAGCTCTAGACAAAAAATTTGATCCGGTGAGTTGGGTGAGATCCAGATTGGCTAAAAATTTGAGAAACTATGTGAAAAGTTGATTGGATATGGCAAGAAACAGCCAGAGTACTCAACAAATCAGAAGCAATGAGAAAAATCGGCTCTAATCGAATATTTAAAAAATTTGCATAAAGGACTTTCCAAGCTGGAAGGCATTTGACATTCCGAAGCTATTAGTTTACAAATTTATAAGATTTTAAAAAATACAGTAATCCAACAGGGCGCGTTTTAGAATTCAAGAATGCCAAAGAATGCCAAGAAGATGCAAATTTCAGACAACGGTTTCCCGGTATCCGTGCCCGAATTCGTTGGTCCGGTGGGCGCATTCGACAACGTGCGAATGGCTGAGGACAATCGATCTCTCCGAGTTCACGCCAAACCTACTGTGTGCCGGTGTGCCCGGAGCCTTGCTGGTGAGTTGTTTCAAATTTAAAAATCACTCTTTCTCGAGTCAGCAACGGCTGTCCTACCCTCCAGGATGGCCGTTTCAAAAATGAAAAACGAAAACTTATTGAGAAATCTCCGAGAAGAAGCTTCAAAGTCCGAGATCCGGCAAGCACCAAGAATTAAAATTTGCATTTAAAGATTCAAATTCACGGCAATAGGTGCCGTGCGCCCCAGAATGACCGTTTCAAAAATAAGAAAAAGGATTCTTTTACAGAATCCTTGAAAAAATTCAGCAAAGTCATAACAGAAAAACCAACTGCGACCAATTCCACCCCAGCTCTCCAAAACAAATTCCATTAGCTAGTGTGCGTTCCAGGACTGCCAAAAAGCCAAAAAAGATCCAGGGATTTTTTACAAAATCCTTGGAAAACACGTGAAGTCATAGCAGAAAAACCAACTGAGACGAATTTCATCCCAGCTCTCCAAAACCAATTCCATTAGCTAGCGTGCGCTCCAGGACTGCCAAAAAGCCAAAAATAAGAACAAGAATCTTTACAAAATCCTTGGAAAACTCGTAAAGTCATAACAGAAAAAACCAACTGCGACCAATTCCACCGCAGCTCTCCAAAACCAATTCCATTAGTTAGTGTGCCTCCCAGAACTGCCAAAAAGTCAAAAGTTTCAGGTGTACGAGCCGACATTCACCGCCGAATCGCTTGCCGAAATGTTGCAGATTCCTCCGCACAAAACGCTCTTGAGACGTCACCTCACCTCGCATTTCAATCAATTATTGGGGCAAAAGCTGATCGCTGAGAAGAGGGATTTCTTGGCGCAAGGCATTTATCCTCAACTAATGCCCTCATTAAGGATAAAGGTCGGGAACTTTGAGCTTTGAACTTTGAGCTTCTCGTAAACGCACACTTTCTGGAGCACTGAATTGTGCTTCTTTAGGCTAAAATTAGGCTAAATTCGTCGTTCTTTCGTCTTTTTTCGTCCTTTTTCAGTCAGCAACAAAAAATTCGTTTTCCAGGTCGTTAAGAAGGGTTTTTCATTAACGCGGAAGAAGGCAAAGAACGAGATTTGCGTGGAGCCGGAGGAGATGCTCGCCCCACCGGACTTGAGGCATAAATTCCCAATGGTTGGTGAGAAATCGTTTCTTTCGAGAAACTAGTGTCATTTTTGGAAGTCACGACACTGATTGCGTGAAAGATTTTGAAGAAAATCGAGTTTTAAAATTTTTTTTTTCTCACGTTGGTGACGGTGACGTTTAGTGGCCGAAATTTGAATTTTCGCGAAAATTTTCTTAAATAACTTTTCAAGCTGGAGCTCACGTAGTACTTTAAAATGTTCAGTTTACGTAAATAAACGATTTAAAAATTTTCTCACTCCCGTTGGTGACGGCGACGGATAGTGGTCAAAATTTGAATTTTCGCGAAAATTTTCTTAAATAACTTTTCAAGCTGGAGGTCACGTAGTACCTTAAAATGTTCAGATTAGGAAAATAAATGATTTAAAAATTAACTCACTCTAAGGCACTCTTCAAGGCACATGCAAATTTTTGCTTAAAAGTTAAATGCTAATTTAAATGCTAATTTTTGTTTTCAGTCAGCTCAATCCCTGCTCGAGTCACTCGATGCGTCAAACGTCTAAAGGAAACAAACGGAAATTTGAATCGTTTTGAATCGTTGCTCATTTACCGTAAGCCAAAAAAGTTGAATTTTTTTTTTTTTTTTGAAAAAACATTCGCATTTCTGCCTTTCAAATTCTCGTGTGAGTTCCAGAATCCCCGAAAAAGTGCTAAAAATACCGTAAATACTCGAATAGACGACGGTCGATGGGCCGACATCCAACGGGCTGACGACCGACGGGCCTACAGTCGCGTAGGCTAACTTTGAACGCGTTTTTCTCGACACTCGTTTATGCTACAGCTTTCGTTTTGCTCTCAAAAGATAGCCCTTGAAATCTACTATTTTTTTGGTACCAAAAGTCTAGCTAGAAAAAATCTAGGGACTAAAAAAAAGATGAGTTTCCAAAAACGAAGTTAGACTACGCGTCTGTACGCGTTCGATTAGAGTATTTACAGTTTAAATGATCGCCTTGGTTTCTAAATTGTTTTTAGCAAAAATTAGCAGGGCTAGGGCTTTTAGCAAAGGAGCTGTCCGCGTATAAAAGGACTTTCTGGCTCCGCCCCTTTTTCCTCAACTTTGAACTCGATTATCTCGGTGTTGGGTTGTCGAATTCGGATCTTCTTTATATCATTGGATTTGTCAAGTCTTTCTCTATCGATTGGTATAAAAACTATTGAAATTGGACCACCCAAAGCCGAGATAATTGAGCTCAAAGTTTAATTGGCAAAAGGGGCGGAGCTAGAAAGACCTTTTATACGCGAGCCGTATCATTCGATGCGCCAAGCCTTTCTCTATCGATTAGTATAAAAGCTATTGAAATTGGCCCGTCCAAAGCCGAGATATTTGAGCTCAAAGTTGGATTGCCATTGGCAAAGGGGCGGAGCGTTCCTTTTATACGCCCCTTTTGCGCCCCTCCCCTTTTCCCTATTGGCAGTCTTTTTGCTAAAATCAAATTGAAAAACCAAGCCGAAAATCCATATTTTCATTGAAATCTTTGAAATTATTCAATTTTTCCACAATTTTCCCCGCAAATTTCGTGTCATAATCGTTTTTTTTATTTCTTTCCTACCGTAATCCCAATTTTTTTCTTTTTTTTCTTTTTTTTCTTTTTTTTTGGTGCTCTTTTGTGCTCTTTTTCTCTGCTGTAAGTTTCGCGTTTTACAATTTACATTTACAAAAGTGCCTCTTTTTGTCTCTCTTTTTGTCGAGAAGATTTTCGATAAATTTTATTGTTAATTAGAAGGGAATACAATGAAGAACGAGTTTATTAAAGCATTTAAAGCATTTAAAGATATCGAAGGGATTCTTTGGCAATTCCGAAGGGCTAAAATGGAAGGAAAATTTCTGTTTCCCACATCGAACCATGGAAATCAAAAATTTGGTTTTAATGAAAATTTGAAGCCTGAAAATGCTAGTGTGACATCCAGATTGAAAGAAAAACGCAATTGAAATCAAATTGCTTTTGTCAATTTTTTGGAATCATCGCGAACGCGAACACTGTCAAGAGTTTGCGATGATTCCGAAAAACTGGCAAAGCCAATTTTCTTTGAATTGCGTTTTTTCTTCTGTCTGGATGTCACACTAGAATTTTTAGGATTCGGATTTTCGATTTTTACCAAAATAGTGCACCTGATTTGGCCCGGGTCATCAGAACTCAGTCCATCAAATTTCCGGTTTTTCAAAATCAAGATTTCAGAAATCTGAATCCTAAAAATCCTAGTGTGACATCCAGATTGAAAGAAAAACTCAATTGAAATCAAATTGCTTTTGTCAATTCTTTGGAATCATCGCAAACTCGGTCCATCAAATTTTCAATTTTTCTTAAGAAGATTTCAAAAATCTGAATCCTAAAAATCCTAGTGTGACATCCAGATTGAAAGAAAAACTCAATTGAAATCAAATTGCTTTTGTCAATTCTTTGGAATCATCGCAAACTCGGTCCATCAAATTTTCTGTGTTTCAAAATCAAGATTTCAGAAATCTGAATCCTTAGAATTCTAGTGTGACATCCAGATTGGAAGAAAAACTCAATTGAAATCAAATTGCTTTTGTCAATTTTTTGGAATCATCGCGAACTCGGACCATCAAATTTTCAATTCTTCAAAAATTAAAGATTTCGAAAATCTGAATCCTAAAAATTCTAGGCTGAGATCCAGATTGAAAGGAAAACGCGATCCTTTGGCAATTTTGATGTCTTCAAGAATGGTGGAGAAAGATGGATGATCATCTTTCAGCCTCCATCTTCCAGCTTCTAGCTTCCAACTTCTAGCTTCCAGCTTCTAGCTTCCAGCATCTATCTTCCATCTTCCAGCTTCCAGAGGAGCACAGTTCATCTTCCAGATTCCCTCAGCGATCAAGCATCGTTCAATGAGTTCCGTGCGACGGTTTGCATCTTTGCATCGACGGTTAGGCGCATCCTCTCACTCTGTTGTTCGACAGTTGGATCGAGAGACGAAAGCTGGTGTGGTTCACCCAATTGAACTCATAGGAAGGGATGGGAAGGGTGGGAAGGAAGGGATGGCAACTCTCACGGGCAAGGCGCGTTTGTCTGTCTCTTTTTTTGTATTGCTTTGTTCTATGTGAGTCGTTCCTCGACCGTTTTATTGTTCGTAGATAAATCTAGATTTAATTCAACTCAAAATCACACGTGATGGTGTTCACGCGCAGGAAGTACTATTGTCCCAGGCCTATTGCCCCACGCCTAGTGCCCCGCCCCTAGTGTCACAGGCCTATGGCCCAGGCCTATGGCCCAGGCCTATGCCCCACGTCTAGTGCCCCAGGCCTATTGCCCCACACCAATTGCCCCACACCAATTGCTCAGGCCTATTGCCCCACGCCTAGGACCCCAAGCCTATCGCCCCACGCCTACTGCCCCGCTCCTACTGCCCCAGGCCTACTGCCCCACGCCTAGTGTCTCGAATTTCCGTTTGCCCATAGATGAATGAACTTGAGAACCGTAACGAACTTGAGCCTAGAATCCTCGAAGCAATTGTTCACCCGAATGGCATGAATGGAGTTTGGATTCCCAGGTAGACCCGCTGATTGCATTCTCAGAAGGAGCCTTTCTTGGCTTTATTGAACTAATTTCATTGTTTGAACTACTGCGAATTCTAATGTGAAAAGCGGGTTTTCTATCATTTTGCCATTGACATTTTTTGCCCAGCTAATTTCTTCTGAGATCTCCGCTTCTTCTGAGATCTCCGCTTCTTCTGAGATCTCCGCTTCTTCCGAGATCTCCGCTTCTTCCGAGATCTCCGCTTCTTCTGAGATCTCCGCTTCTTCTGAGATCTCCGCTTCTTCTGAGATCTCCGCTTCTTCTGAGATCTCCGCTTCTTCTGAGATCTCCGCTTCTTCTGAGATCTCCGCTTCTTCCGAGATCTCCGCTTCTTCTGAGATCTCCGCTTCTTCTGAGATCTCCGCTTCTTCCGAGATCTCCGCTTCTTGAGATCTCCGCTTCTTCTGAGATCTCCGCTTCTTCTGAGATCTCCGCTTCTTCTGAGATCTCCGCTTCTTCTGAGATCTTCTGAGACCAGTTTCTGGTCAGATTTTGGTTTTCTATAATCCAAAAATACCAATGCTGGGACGGATTTGTCAAAAAATCGAAACTGAAAAAAGAAAAAAAAGGAAAAAAAAGAAAAATTGAGAAAAACTGAAATTTCCATTTTGCCGTCTGCACAAAATCGATTTAATTAATCAAAAAAAATTCGATTCCACAACGTAAAACCTGGCCCAGAATCGCTAATTAAACGATTGAAAGAAAAAAAACGATTTGTTTTGCGCGATTTCCCAGAAATTTCTTTTTTACTATGAAGCTGAAGCTGAAAATTTTTGCGATTTTTTCAAGTGAGTTGAAAATTTTTATTTTATTCATTTCAAAGACTTCTTTTATTTTATTTTCTTGCCTGACATCCATAGTTTACAGTTTTGTCGGCGAATTTTGCCGTGAAGCGCCCAGAGCCGAGATCTGGAATCGAAAAGTCGACGATACTAAACGACTTGAATTGGATCGAGCAAGTTGGCGCTTTGAATCAAGCTTTGAATCAAGCTTAAATCAAGCTCAAATCAAGCTTTGAATCAGGCTTTGAATCAGGCTCAAATCAAGCTTTGAATCAAGCATTAAATCAAGCATTAAATCAAGCTTAAATCAAGCTTAAATCAAGCTTAAATCAAGCTCAAATCAAGCTTTGAATCAAGCTTAAATCAAGCTTAAATCAAGCTTTGAATCAAGCTTGAATCAGGCTTTGAATCAAGCTTTGAATCAAGCATTAAATCAAGCTCAAATCAAGCTTTGAATCAAGCTCAAATCACGCTTTGAATCAAGCTCAAATCAGGCTTTGAATCAAGCTTAAATCAAGCTTAAATCAAGCTCAAATCAAGCTTTGAATCAGGCTTTGAATCAGACTCAAATCAAGCTTTGAATCAAGCTTTGAATCAAGCTTAAATCAAGCTTAAACCAAGCTTTAAACCAAGCTTGAATCAAGCTTGAATCAAAGCTTTACTCAAAACCTTTAAATCAAAGCTTTACTCAAATGCTTTAACTCAAAACCTAAGTTGCGTTCCAGCTAAGACCAAAATAAAGTTAATTCCAAAAATTCGCAAAAAGAAAACGAGAAAATTGCGTGATCTTTTTCAGCAATCTTTTTCAGCAATTCCCTTGCTTCCCCTTTCAGCAAAATCTAAAGTGCGCTCCAGGATCGCGGAAAAACGTCGAATCTCTTGAAAATTGAATTTCCAGGTGCTTCTTGAGCAACGAATGCAAATCAACGACTACTCGGCGATCGGATTGGCGCTGGCGGAGGCGAGGATCGGTTTGCGAAAGAATCGTTTCCAGCAAATGGTCGACGCACTGCAGAGAGTCAGCCAGAAGATTGAAATCGCTCATTTCCCGGAGAGAATCGCTCAGAAAATGGTATTGAATGGGATTGGAATGGAATTGGAATGGAAATTTGGCCTATTTTGGCCTATTTTGGCCTTTTTTGGCCTATTTTGGCCTTTTTTGGCCTATTTTTGTCTATCTTGGCCTATTTTGGTCTATTTTTGGCCTATTCTGGCCTATTCTGGCCTATTCTGGCCTATTTTGGCCTATCTTGGCTTATTCTGGCCTATTTTGGCCTATCTTGGCTTATTTTGGCCCTTTTTGGCCTGTTTTGGCCTATTTTGGCCTATTTTTGCCTTTTTTGGCCTATTTTGGCCTATCTTGGCTTATTTTGGCCCTTTTTGGCCTGTTTTGGCCTATTTTGGCCCATATTGGCCTAGTTTGGCTGATTTTGGCCTATTTTTGCCTATTTTGGCCTATTTTTGCCTTTTTTGGCCTATTTTTGCCTATTCTGGCCTATTTTGGCCTATTTTGGTCTGGTTTTGCCTATTTGGGCCTATTTTGGCTCATTTTGGCCTCTTTTGACCTATTTTGGCCTATTTTGACCTATTTTGGCCTATTTTGGCCTATTTGGGCCTATTTGGGCCGATTTTGGCCTATTTTGGCCTATTTTGACCTATTTTGGCTTATTTTGGTCTATTTTGGTCCATTTTTGCCTATTTCTTTTTCAAAAGACGATCCTTTCAATTCCTCTCCGAAATTTCGAATCACAAACCCAAAATCGGGGAAAATTGATTGGAAAACAGCGGTTTGATTCGGGAAATTTATGGCTAAATTTATTGGAAACATGAATTAACAGCCCTTTTTCATAGTTTGTCAGCTGATTAGCTAGAGCCATTGGACCTTAAATCAACAAATTATTATAAGTAAACATAAGAGCAAGAAAAAACAATAAAAAACAACAAAAAATCTCTCTAAAAGACAAACCGTCACTAGCACAAGGGTATTGTATCTTATCCCTTATCGAAAAACCTTAAAAACTTTCAAAAATTCTATTTCAGTGGAATTTCTAGCCGATCTGGATGTCACATTACCTAATGAAAATCTAAAAATTTCGATTTCTCAAAATTTTCGAGTCGTCGCCGGTGCATCGAACTCTCTCCTTCAAAAAGCTTCAAACTTTTCTTAAAAATGTAGAAAATAAAACTATTTCTAGCCGATCTGGATGTCACATTAGCTATTGAAAATGTAAAACCTTGGATATCTCAAAATTTTCAAGTCACTGGTGCATCGAACTCTCTCTCTCCAAAATCTTCAAAATTCTCTCCTAAATGTAGACAACAAAAACTATTTCTAGCCTATCTGGATGTCACATTAGCTATTGAAAATGTAAAATATTGGATTTCTCCAAAAAACGGCTAGACGAATGTCTCTTAGATGGCTGTCCTTTAGACGAATGTCCCTTAGCTTTGAAACCCGGCTGCGGTCCGGCTGAGGTCTGGCTGAGGTCTGGCTGAGATCTGGCTGAGATCTGGCTGAGACCTGGCTGAGGTCTGGCTGAGATCTGGCTGAGATCTGGCTGAGATCTGGCTGAGATCTGGCTGAGATCTGGCTGAGATCTGGCTGAGATCTGGCTGAGGACCCAAATCGACTCACAATCAATGCCTAAGTCCTAGTTACTACAGTAATCTGGGATACGCTACTGTACCTGTTTTTCTAGACCGAGAAGCTTGGCGAGATCATCGAGCAGGCTGGATTCGTATTCTCTCCTAGTCTCTATTTCAATCGTCCCTCGCTCCCAATCCTCCCAAAAACGATTGTGCTATCCAATTTGGAGAAAAGTCTTGACGAGAATGACACCACGATTGTGGAAAAGCCAAAAACGATGACAACACTGAAACCGGGAAGATTCCGGGAATTCGTCGCTCGGAAAGAAGACCAAAGACTGCTGCAGAACCTTGGCTATAACATTGAAGAGAATAGTGGAGCCGAGCCAGCGATTGCAAAGCAAAATTCCAATCAAACTCTCGCCAAACTTTCTAAGAAGGTTTTCATTGATAAATTGAGCGAAATGGCGAACGAATTCAAGAGAATTGAGCAAGCTGGAAGTCACAAAAGGAGTACGGTAGACGAGATGAGCTCCACCATCACTCTACATTCTACAGTAACCCCAGTAACCCCTACAGTAACCCCTGAACTGCCAAAAGTCGTGAAAACGTGGAATAACAAAACTAGCACCTCGAATGAGCTCCAGATGGCGCAAAACAAAAGTCAAAATCTAGCTGGATTGGAAAATACGGAAGTTGATGACGAGATCTCATGCGGTGCGTTTTTGGGAGTGTTTCAGGGAGATTCTTCTCGATTTAATATGTTTTTAGGCGGATCTGGAACTCACCAAATCTCTCGCGAGAGCAAGATGGGCATGTTAGAGGTAAAGGAAAGAAGCCAGGTTTAGAGCTGAGATTTCAAGGGTACTGTAGGCTTAAATTCGACTAGAATTCAAAAATTTGCAAAAGCTAAATGCAAATTGGAATACACTAGGAAGTTTTGGGGGTTTTTGGAAGCATCTGCTAAGATCTAACACATAGGATACTGTAGCCAGGTGTGTCGCGTACTTAGTTGTAGTTGAAGAGGCCCAAATTCGCAGAGAACCTTTCGTGCGCTCCAGTTCGACCAAATATTCGCTAAAAATTTGTAAATTCGTTTTCTAGGCCACAAATCGCTTTCGATCCGAGATCGCTCTCGGGAAATACGTCGGCTTTCAAGGACGAGTCTTCCCGTCGGCTACGAACATGCGTAAACTGGTGAGTTGATAGGAATTGAGTTGATAGGAAATGAGTTGATAGGAATTACTCACATCCCCCTGGTGTCCTAGGCTACAATTCTAGACTACTGTAGCTACAGTACCCAAGGGTGGCTACAAATCATCCCTGGAGTATGTAAACTGCTTAGAAATCCCTACTGCCTTCCAGAACGGCGAAATTCGTTTAGAAATGGAGTTGTGCCTTGGAGAAAAAGGCTCAATCGTGGGCACACTCGTGTCAAATGTCGCACGCGAGTCGAATACAAAGAATGGGACAGGGAGAGATCCTCTTCTTCCCATCGCAGAAACCCCAACACATCACCGCATTCAATCGTGAGTTTTGTGAGGAAAAGGAAATGAAGCGGGCATTTGAAGCCAGATTAGACTCAAGGATTTTCCACTGGGTCCTAAGCCGGTCCTAAACCTGAACCTGGCCTGGACTGGCTTGGCCTGGCTTGATTGGCCTAGCCTGGCCGGCTTGCTTGGCCTAGCCTGGTCGGCTTGCTTGGCCTAGCCTGGCCGCCTCGTTTGGCCTAGCCTGGCCGTCTGGTTTGGCCTAGCCTGGCCGGCTTGCTTGGCCTAGCCTGGCCGCCTGGTTTGGCCTAGCCTGGCCGTCTGGTTTGGCCTAGCCTGGCCGGCTTGCTTGGCCTAGCCTGGCCGGCTTGCTTGGCCTAGCCTGGTCGGCTTGCTTGGCCTAGCCTGGCCGCCTCGTTTGGCCTAGCCTGGCCGCCTGGTTTGGCCTAGCCTGGCCGGCTTGCTTGGCCTAGCCTGGCCGCCTGGTTTGGCTAGCCTGGCCGCCTTGAGCCTAGGTCAGAGCCTGGCTTTTAGTCGAGCTCTCGTTGACTTAAAAGCAATAGAGACCAGTTGCAACATGGATTACCGCAAAGCAAAGCAGAAATCAGGCAATTAAACCAATTAGGCGTACAGGGCTAAAGCTAACACGGCTTTAAAGCGTCTAATCTCTGCTAGTTCCAGTCTCGACGATGGCTTTCTTCTACAATGACGAATTCAAGATGAGTCTCACCGAGAGCCCCCTAAAAATGGACCATTTCAATTGGAAATTCGTCGGCCACGCCACACAGGTTGAATCGAATCAAAAGACAAGCCTTACTAGCCAGTAGCCAGCTTGGACAATCCCTGGTCAATTCCAAGCCTGGCTAATCCCTGGCCAATCCTAAGCCTGGACAATCCCTGGCGAATTCTAGCACTGGACAATCCCTGGCCAATTCCAAGCCTAGCCAATCCCTGGTCAATCCTAGGCCTGGCTGATCCCTAGCCAATCCAAAGCTAGGCTAATCCCTGGCCAATTCCAAGCCTAGCCAATCCCTGGTCAATCCTAGGCCTGGCTGATCCCTAGCCAATCCAAAGCTAGGCTAATCCCTGGCCAATTCCAAGCCTAGCCAATCCCTGGTCAATCCTAGGCCTGGCTGATCCCTAGCCAATCCAAAGCTAGGCTAATCCCTGGCCAATTCCAAGCCCTAGCCAATCCCTGGTCAATCCTAAGCCAATCCCAAATTTCAGCAAGCCTGGGCCGTGAATGACGCTATCGGTTGCGCAGTCGCCTCGTGTCTGAATGAAAAGCTTTGGGTGGTATGCCGATATTCGACGTGGGTGTCCAATTCTTCTCAAAAATTTCCAATGCTCTCCAGAATGACGGGAAAATGTAAAATCCAAGAGATTCGAGCAAAAATCGACTTTTTAAGGCCTTACACTCTTCCCAGCTCTTCCCAGCAAAATATTTCGCGAAAAAAGCGATCGAATCGCCTTAAATTCGTCATTTTCATTTGCACTGCGTTCCAGAATTGCCTAAAAAACTCGAGAGATCAATTCAAAAACCATTTAGCGGCAACAATCTCGGTTCACTTGTTTACGAGGAGGGTGCGCCGTGTTCCCGATGCCCAGCCGACACGAAATGTCGACAACGGACGGCGCTTTGTGAATCCAAAGAATAAAGATCGAATAAAGATGGAATGGATATTTGAAATGGAGAAAAACGTTGAGAAAAGTTGTCTCAACTCGGCTTTCCACTTTCCACTTTAGGAGGAAATTCTGACGTACTGGTAAAGCTGGTAAAGCACGTAGTTGTCACCAATATCAAGACAGACGAACAAACACTGTCCGTCTGTCCGAGCATATAAAGTAGAAGCGGTTGTCCGTCGATTGCCCACGCCGTGCAAATAGAGCTTTAAATCGATGCCATTCGCCTTCGATAGGGAAAGAGCTTGCTTGATGTACGGAATCTAGAAAATAGCATGTGTTTTGATGAAACTGGATGTCATCCCATCAAATGGGACATCCAGATTTGAATCAAGAATTGGTTTCAACTTTGAGCTGTCTGTTTGTCTGTCTGTTTGTCTATCTGCCTGCCTGTCTGTCTGCCTGCCTGTCTGTCTGTTTGTCTGTCTGTTTGTCTGTCTGTCTGTTTGTCTGTCTGTCTGTCTGCCTGCCTGTCTGTCTGTTTGTCTGTCTGTTTGTCTGTCTGTCTGTTTGTCTGTCTGTCTGTCTGTCTGCCTGTCCGTCTGTCCGGCCGTCCGTCTGTCTGTCCGTCTGTCCATCCGTCTGTCCGTCTGTCCGTCTGTCCGGCCGTCCGTATGTCTGTCTGTCCGTCCGTCTGTCTGTCCGTCTGTCCATCCGTCTGTCTGTCTTTCTGTCTGTCCGTCTGCCTGTCTGTCCGTCTGTGAGCAGCCAAAAAGGCGCGGAGCTTAGATTGCGTGGAAAACGTTGGTGAGCCTTTTCCGCTGGTCAATCCAATAATCAAAATCTTTTAGTACTATTTTGTAGAGAAGATTCAGCGCTTTCAAATAGTACACAAGATTTATTAGCTGAGGCTTTCAATCTTTTGCTTTTTTGGAAAGGTCTCTGTGACGCTCATTGGCGTTTAGCTCAGGGAATTGATTGTTGATCAATTCACTGAGCTAAACGTTAGAAATTGATCGATGATCAATTTCTAAAGTGTGAAATGCTTAGAAAAGGTTTCTAAATACTTGGCTAATCGATCGTTTCTAAAGAAAAGATATTATTTCGTTGCATTCTAAAATTGAAAAAGAGTCGAGAAGAAAAGCGCACAAGGAACGTTTTTTTTTCTTTTTTTCTTTCTTGTCGTTCTTTTCGTGAATTCCTTATCAATTGAGCGATTGATTGTTGTTTTCTTTGCTCAATTCTTTGCTCAATTCTTTACTGAGTTCTTTGCTCAATTCTTTGCTGAATATTCTCCAAAAACGAAATCAACAATGATTCTAGTGGATTGGATCAAAACCCTCTTTATCTGGAAGTCGTTTTTGTGTCGTTTTTCATCTAAAAATCGCCTTTTTTAGGCAGAAGACAATTTCTGTGATCACTGCGATTTTCGGTGGCCTCATTTTCCTCAATACTTGTGTCACAGTTTTGTAAGTTCCTTCGGCAAGAAAATAGCATTATCCGATTTATTATAAGCGAGAGAGGGTGTTGTTTGTCTGTATGTCTGTCTGTCTGTCTGTCTGTCTGTCTGTCTGTCTGTTTGTCTGTTTGTGTTTGTCTGTCTGTCTGTTTGTCTGTCTGTCTGTTTGTTTGTTTGTTTAAAAAAACCGATCGAACCAATCTATCTGAAAATTTGATTATTATATCCAAAATTTTATGTAGTTTCCGGGAAACTTATGAGTTTTTTCGGTTAAAGGGAGTTTTTATGTGGGAAAATGCGGCTTTCTTGATTTCCCATTGATTTCTCGATGAGCGTGGTCAAGGAAAAGGGAATGCCCGGAACTTGTAATCTTTTGAAGTATTAGTTACAATTTCTGTTGCTCAAAACGTTCGCAAAAGAGCGATGTAGAGGTTCCAGCATTGCAGAGAGCTCCAGCATTGCAGAGAGCTCCAGCAACCAAGAATCCACTCTTTGGCGTCCGACTGACAGATCCGACAACGCGTTACAATGGTCTGAACTAGCCGGACGATTGCACAACCAAGGCGCCTCTTTGGTTCTGCAATGCTGCAATGTTCTGCAACCCACTCTTTGGTGTCCGACTGACAGACAGCGGCTTGAAAGTGTTGAGCTTCACGGACGCTTTTTTGGATTCACTTTTTAAAGCCTTAAACAAATAAACTTATAATTTGAAGGGTTTTGACAACAAACAAAATGATTTATTCTGTTGACACTTTCAGTTTTCTTTCACTATCATTTTTTGACAGGGGAAAAAGGACGAACCATTTAAAATCAAATTATTGTTCATGTAATCAAACCATTCAAATGAAACCATTCAAATGAAACCATTCAAATGAAACCATTCAAATGAAACCATCCAAATCAGACCATCCAAATCAAACCATCCAAATCAAACCATCCAAATCAGACCATCCAAATCAGACCATCCAAATCAGACCATCCAAATCAAACCATCCAAATCAAACCATCCAAATCAAACCATTCAAATGAAACCATCCAAATCAAACCATCCAAATCAGACCATCCAAATCAATTTTTATCACTTAGCGTGAGCTGAAGAAAAAGAAAAAGAAAAAGAAAACTTTATTTAACACCAAAAGAAATGAAAGGCACGTTTTAAGATGGAAAACAATCTGACTAAAGCACGAATAGCATATTGATAGCAATATTGCTCGAAAAGGATTGAAGAAGGCAAAGGATTGAGTGCTTTCAAAGTTGGGTAAATGAACCGGAGGCTTTCTCTCGATCGGTCTCTCATTAAAATCATATTTTTCAAAACGAAAAGTTTGTCCTGGAGCTCACACTAACAAAAGAAAGATAGAAATCATCAAGAAATTGGTTATAAAATTTTTTAATTTTCAAATTTTTCCTTTTTCGTACTTTCAATCATCAAAAATCTCCTGTTTTATAGAAACAGAATTTCCGAGAAATTTTGAAGAATTCCCGAGCAACCCTCGATTCGGCGAAAGCGGTGATTGGATGAGGCGCGGGATCGAGCGATTTGACGTTGATGGCGCTTGTTGAGGAAGCCGTTGAGGAAGTCGTTGATAAGAGAGACGAGTGAACTGAAATCAATCTCATTTTTAGCTAATTTGCTCATCTGGCACACACACTAGAGCTTGAGATGAGAAATTTTAAAAAAGATCCATTTAGGGGTGTTCTCTAGTTTCCATCAAATTTTCTCTAGCCCAATTCCTTGCCATTTCTGCCATAAATGCAAATTTTTTTCTACTGAAATCTTTGATCTGGAAGTCAACTTAGAATTTAGGTTAGAAACTTCCCAAAAAAAATTGAAACTATGAGATCTCTAGTTTTCCATCGAAATTTCTCTACACAATTTCTCTCTGCTCTTCATTCGTATGCAAATTTTTTTCTACTGAAATCTCTGATCTGGAAGTCAACTTAGAATTTGGTTCAGAAATTCCCCAAAAAAATTGAAACTACGAGGTCCCCAGTTTTCCATCGAAATTTCTCTACACAATTTCTCAGCGCTCTTAATTCGTATGCAAATTTTTTTTTACCGGAATCTCTGATCTGGAAGTCAACTTAGAATTTAGATTAGAAAATTCCCCAAAAAAATAGAAATTACGAGGTCTCCAGTTTTCCGTCGAAATTTCTCTATACAATTTCTCACCGCCCTTATCTCTTATGCGAATTCTTCCGACTGGAATCTCTGATCTGGCATACAACTTAGCTTTTCCAATTAGATGTGAGCCCCAGAACCAGAACCAGAACCAGAACCAGAACGTACCTTTCCGCCCCGGGTGTACAGGATTTGTCTACGCATTCTCGCCTTGTCGAGCTCATTCTGCGAGATCAAATGCCGTCGATTCTCGTGCCGCTTCTCGATCATTGAGCGCTTCGCCTGCTCGAGGTTCTGCAAATTAACCGATCCGATTTATTTTCCGGGGGAATTTTTGGCAATTTTGCTCGCCCGTCTCAAGAAAACCCACCCAAATCTCCAAATTGACATGGTCGACGCAGAAGCACGGCGCGTTTCCACTCTGAAATTCTCGTGTACGCGAATTTTTCATGCCTAAAGCGCTCATCTGGCACGCAACTTAGGGATTGGAGCTGGAAAATCCAGTCAATGCCTCCAAATGCCCCCAAATGCCCCCAAATACCCCCCAATGCTCCCAAATGGCCCCAAATGCCCCAATCAATGCCCTCAAATGCCCCCCAATGCCCCAAAGTTGCTCGACCGCCGCCCAAATTTTCACAGCCTCATTTCTCGGCACCCTTAGCTCAGATCGAAATTTTTTTTATTCAAAACGCCCATCTGGGATGCAACTTAGAGATTGGAGCTGGAAATTCAGTCGATGCCTCCAAAAGACAAGTTGCTCCCTCCCGAATTTTCTCAGCCTTATTTCTCGGCACCCTTAGCTCAAATCGAAATTCTTTTTGTTCAAAACGCCCATCTGGGATGCAACTTAGGGATTAGAGCTGGAAAATCCAGGATAAAACTACAGTAACCGTGAGCTACAGTAACCGTGAGCTACAGTAACCGTGAGCTACAGTAACCAGCCACGGTAGCCCATAGTAACCCAGCTACAGTAACCCAGCTACAGTAACCCTGCTACAGTAACCAGCTAGAGTAACCAGCTACAGTCAATGTCCCCAAAAGACAAGTTGCTCGCTCCCGAATTTTCTCAGCCTCATTTCTCGCCACCCTTAGCTCAGATCGAAATTCTTTTTGTTCAAAACGCCCATCTGGGATTCAACTTAGGGATTGAAGCTGGAAATTCAGTCAATCAATTAACGCAAAGATTTTGATGGCATTGATTTTTCATGGCAGCAATTTTTATCATCTACAGTACTGGACAATGAAATATGATATTTGAAAAACGATCGTCACTTTCGCGCGTCTGTAACTCCATTGTCTTTGAGTTTAAACTTTGAGTTTCGAAAGGTTAAGCCTTTACCGGTTAACTCAGTTAAGGTCCGCTTTTTCGGAGGGGGCGTCTAGCGCTTCCTTTGGCGCAGTCGGCAGCACGCTGGTCTAGAATCCGCAGGGTCCGGGTTCGACTCCGATTACTGTCACTCGAACTTTTTTTTCTTTTCTTTACTTTTCGAACTTAAATACCACTACTAAACTAAAAATCAGGTAAATCGGAACTAGCGCGTACAGACGGACGGACAGACATTTCCCTTTTATATACTGGACAATGAAATATCATGTTTGGAAAAAAATCGTCACTTTCGCGCGTCTGTAACTCCCTGCTCTTTACCGTATTTCTAAATATTAATATTACCATTGTGTAGCCCTTGAAAAGAGCTTTCAGAAAATGTATAACACTAATAGTTTAAACTCAAAGACAATGGAGTTACAGATGCGCGAAAGTGACGATCTTTTTCCATGTGCCATCTCCCACTCACCATCTTTATCTTCGTGAAAAGCCCATTCGCTTCGGGCATCAATTTGTCCGCAATCAAAGCCTCATTATATGAAACAATCGTCTTTTTCCTTTTCAAATCCTTTTCGGCCTCTTCGGCATTCGAGTTTCGAATCGTTGACTTCAATGGATTCGAATGACCACAAATTAGGCAAGCGGACGGCTGAAAATGCAAAATCAAAATGAGAAATGCTTAAATTGGAACGCAAAACGGCGACTGGGCTCTTTGGAGAGAGATTTTTTAAAGGAACTGAATGAATAAAGGAAACCGGCACTAGCACAAGGGTACTGAATCTTGTCCCCTATCGAAAAGGTTTAAGAATTTAGAAAAATTCTATTTCAGTGGAATTTCTAGCCGATCTGGATGTCACATTAGCTATTGAAATTATAAAAAATCGGATTTCTTCTAATTTTCGAGTCGTCGTTGGTGCATCGAACCCTCTCCCTCAAAAATCTTCAAAATTCTCTCATAAATGTAGAAAATAAAAACTATTTTTAGCTGATCTGGATGTCACATTAGCTAATGAAAATATTAAAATTTCGATTTCTAAAGATTTTCGAGTCGTCGTTGGTGCATCGAACTCTCTCTCTCCAAAATCTTCAAAATTCTCTCATAAATATAGAAAACAAAAACTATTTCTAGCCGATCTGGATGTCACATAAGCTATTGAAATTATAAAATATTGGATTTCTAAAGATTTTCGAGTCTCTGGTACGTCGAACTCTCTCCCTCCAAAATCTTCAAAATTTTCGCAAAAACGTAGAAAATAAAAGCTATTTCTAGCCGATCTGGATGTCACGTAAGCTATTAAAAATCTTCAAATCTCGATTTCTAAAGATTTTCGAGTTGTCACAAGTACGTCGAACTGGCACAAAAGTTAGCTAATCCCACTCATCGGAATTAACACGAAAGTTAGATAATCCCAAATCTAACCCCCACAATATCTAAGTTGCCTTCCAGATCAGAAAAAAACTGAAATATGATAGAGTTTGGTTGGCTCAGTTTTTTAGAATTAAGCCGAGAAAATTTCAAGCCCTCACATTCTTGCGAAACAGCTCCATGGTAGTCTCATCGGTGAAAGCTGAGGTTGAAGGGATCTAAAGATTCAATTCTTTCCGTTTTCCCAGCAAAATGCACTCACACTCCGGAAAAAAACCTCGCGAGACTCGTCGCGTAAAAGGGGCATCGCTTGACTCTGAAAAAGTACTGTAGGTGACGAGTTTTCTTAAAAAAACGATAAGCTCCCGATTTTTTTGCCCCAAAATATTCTGTGCTTTCCAGAAGGACGAAATATTTTTTCAGTTTTCTCATATCCAGCAAGATCATCGATTTTCGGCCATGAACTCGTTCAGGCTTCAAAAACAATTTTTCCAAATCTTTTTTTTTTCGATTTCTTTAACTCCAAAATATTCTGTGCCCTCCAGAATAACGAAATAATTTATAATTTTTTAGATTTACTCTAGGGTTTACAATATTCAGCCTTGAACTTGTTCATTGCACTTCAGCTCAGGCCTTGCAAGCTTTTTCTGCCTTCTAAAGCAAGCCGTAAACTATGGCAAATCTACCGTAGCCTGTCTGTCTTTCAGTGAAAGGAAATCTTGACTTAAACTGTGTCAAACCTTTTTCCCAATCGGAGATGTGCTAGAGATCGTCAGACGTGGCCAACCGATTCGATTGCGTTGAGATGGGGGCTGAAATATTGATCTTACATTTTAGAACTAACTGATGAGTTTAAATGGGGCTGGAAAGGTTGGCTTGACTGGAAAGGTTGGCCTGGCTGGAAAGGTTGGCTTGGCTGGCTTGGCTGGAAAGACTGGCCTGGCTGGCCTGGCTGGAAAGGCTGACCTGGCTGGCAAGGCTGGCTTGACTGGAAAGGTTGGCCTGGCTGGAAAGGTCAACTTTTTGGCCTGGTGGATCAGCTCATTGTACCAGGAAAGGCAAAGGCTATAAACAGGCCAGGCCTGGAATCCAGGCCTTGAATTCAGGTCTTGAAGCCAGGTCCAGGCTAGACCTTGAAGCCAGGTCCAGGCTAGGCCTTGAAGCCAGGTCCAGGCTAGGCCTTGAAGCCAGGTCCAAACTAGGTCTTGAAGCCAGGTCCAGGTCGGGTCTTGAAGCCAGGTCCAGGCTAGGTCTTGAAGCCAAGTTCAGGCTAGGTCTTGAAGCCAGGTCCAGGCTAGACCTTGAAGCCAGGTCCAGGCTAGGCCTTGAAGCCAGGTCCAGGCTAGACCTTGAAGCCAGGTCCAGGCTAGGCCTTGAAGCCAGGTCCAAACTAGGTCTTGAAGCCAGGTCCAGGTCGGGTCTTGAAGCCAGGTCCAGGCTAGGTCTTGAAGCCAAGTTCAGGCTAGGTCTTGAAGCCAGGTCCAGGCTAGACCTTGAAGCCAGGTCCAGGCTAGGTCTTGAAGCCAAGTTCAGGCTAGGTCTTGAAGCCAGGTCCAGGCTAGACCTTGAAGCCAGGTCCAGGCTAGGCCTTGAAGCCAGGTCCAGGCTAGGTCTTGAAGCCAAGTTCAGGCTAGGTCTTGAAGCCAGGTCCAGGCTAGACCTTGAAGCCAGGTCCAGGCTAGGCCTTGAAGCCAGGTCCAGGCCTAGCTTCTTCCTATGATCATCGTTAGCCGGTGATTGTCGGCTAAGCCAAGCCCAGGACAGGAAAGGTACCAGGAAAGGCAAAGTCAAGGGTCTCCTGGTTGGCTGGATTGGCTGACTCTAGTCTTGCGCCTGTTCCCCTACCTCTCCACTCCTTTCTTCTTCTCCATTTTTTCCCTCCTCTCCTCCACCCATCGCTTTCTCGGCTTTCTCGATCATTTTCCGCATTTGTTTCGCTTTTTCTTGACGCTGTCTTGGTGGGCGACCGCGTTTCTAAAAAATGACTGATTAGCAGAGAGATTTGCTTTGCTTACGCTACCTAAACCATACTTTAAAGTGTCTGCTTGCCCTGGCCTCAGCCTAAACCTGGGCCAGAAGGGATCCCTGGCCTTCTCCTTGAGTCAGTTTAGCACGGGAGAAGTCAAAGCTAAGGCCAAGCTCACAAAATGACCCTCCAGAGTACTCTAAAGTACCCTAAAGCTACTCTAAAGTACTCTAAAGTACTCTAAAGTACTCTAAAGTACCCTAAAGCTACTCTAAAGTACTCTAAAGTACTCTAAGGCTACTCTAAAGTACTCTAAAGCCCCTCTAAAGTACTCTAAAGTACTCTAAAGTACCCTAAAGCTACTCTAAAGTACTCTAAAGTACTATAAAGTACTCTAAAGTACTCTAAAGTACCCTAAAGCTACTCTAAAGTACTCTAAAGTACTCTAAAGTACTCTAAAGCTACTCTAAAGTACTCTAAAGTACTCTAAGCCTTACTCGGCTACAATAAACCTCTATAAAACACTAGGTTCAAGCTGGCTAGTACTGTAGTGGTCACTTGGGTCACTGTAGTGGTCACTTGGGTCACTGCAGTGACTCCACTTAGTCGTCTGCACAGTCCTAGCGTCAAGTCGTCTGCGAATTGAGTTCCAGCGCTTATAACCGTTTTCTATGTGCCCGATTGGGGAGAAACTTTGAATTACGCTTAGTTGGAAGGCACAGCAAAATCCAGTGCACTTAGATTCACGCTTTACCGAAGAAAAACCGACCGGCACTGCCACATCCAACAAATCTGAGATCGGCGACGGCGAACGAGCGAAATGATCGAAGTCGAGCTGGAAACAGCTTTGATAAAGCTTTGATAGAGCTTTGATAGAGAGCTTCATCTCCCAACTCTCACCATTCTCCCCGCCGTTCTCCGTCTCATTTGTGCCATTCGATTTTCTCGCAATTTCTCCTCGGTCTCTCGAATCATCGCCTTTGCATCGCGCCACAGGTTCTGCAAACGAGATAATTTCATTTTTCGCTAATCAATGCTTAAATTGGAACGCACAACGGCGACTGGGTTCTTTAGAGAGAGATTTTCTAAAGGAAAACGTCCATGAGGGGTACTGAATCTTATCCCCTACCGAAAGGCTTGAAAAATTTGGAAAAATTCTATTTCAGTGGAATTTCTAGCCGATCTGGATGTCACATAAGCTATTGAAAATCTAAAAATTTCGATTTCTCAAAATTTTCGAGTCGTCGCCGGTGCATCGAACTCTCTCCTTCAAAAAGCTTCAAACTTTTCGTAAAAACGTAGAAAACAAAAACTACTTTTAACCGATCTGGATGTCACATTAGCTAATGAAAATATTAAAATTTCGATTTCTAAAGATTTTCGAGTCGTCGTTGGTGCATCGAACTCTCCTCTCCAAAAGCTCCAAAATTCTCTCATAAATGTAGAAAACAAAAACTATTTCTAGCCGATCTGGATGTCACATAAGCTATTGAAATTATAAAATATTGGATTTCTAAAGATTTTCGAGTCTCTGGTACGTCGAACTCTCTCCCTCCAAAATCTTCAAAATTTTCGCAAAAACGTAGAAAATAAAACCATTTCTAGCCTATCTGGATGTCACAGTACCTATTGAAATTATAAAATATTGAATTTCTCAAAAAAAATTCTACTCACATATTGTTCGAGGACTGGCGGCGTGATATGATCGACGCAGAAGCTGATCGAGTGCAATTTCTGAAAATGACAAATCTAAGCGTCTGAAATTCTCAAATGCGTTCCAGAATGGGGCTTTCAGCAATTTTCAACGACATCTCACTCACATTTTCGAATTTAAAGTCCCCGATCGTGCCTCCGGTTTTGAACAAGTCGTCGAAGAGCCCGATTTCCCCGAGATCGCTCACGAATTTCATCGTTTTTCGCCCAACAAACGAATCCCCGTTGTTGTGGCCGCATAGAGTGCATGTGTTGCTCTAAATGTTCCGTAGTACTGTAGCCTCAGGGTGTACGGTAGCCCAGGGTAACCCAATAGCAGACGAACCAGGGTATACGGTAGTTTTAAATTCAGGGCTCTAAGGCTATTTTTAAGCGTTTAATACCTCGTGTGCATTCCAGTTTTGCTATTCCAATAATCAGAGGGTCCAGGGAAACCCTAGGGCTACAGTAAACTAATAGCAGACAGGTCAGGGTATACGGTAGTTTATAATTCGCTTTGTCAGGCTGCTTTTAAGCGTTTAATACCTCTTCTGCTTTCCAGCTTTGCTATCCCGCTAATCGATGGGTCCAGGGAAACCCTAGGAGTACGGTAATTCATAGCCAGACGAACCAGGGTATACGGTAGTTTTAAATTCAGGGCTCTAAGGCTATTTTTAAGCGTTTAATATCTCGTGTGCATTCCAGCTTTGCTATTCCACTAATCGCTGGGTCCAGGGAGACCCTAGGGGCACAGTAAACTAATAGCAGACAGGTCAGGGTATACGGTAGTTTATAATTCGCTTTGTCAGGCTGTTTTTAAGCGTTTAATACCTCTTGTGCATTCCAGCTTTGCTATTCCACTAATCGATGGGTCCAGGGAGACCCTAGGAGTACGGTAATTCATAGCCAGACGAACCAGGGTATACGGTAGTTTGTAATTCGCTTTGTCAGGCTGTTTTTACAACTTTACACCCTCCCCTGCGTTCCAGCTTTGCTATTCCACTAATCAGTAATTCCAGGGAAACCCTAGGGGTACGGTAATTCATAGCAAGACAGATCAAGGTATACGGTAGTTTATAATTCGCTTTGTCAGGCTGTTTTTAAGCGTTTAAAACCTCTTGTGCGTTCCAGCTTTGCTATTCCACTAATCGACGGGTCCAGGGAAACCCTAGGGGTACAGTAAACTAATAGCAGACAGATCAAGGTATACGGTAATTTTAAATTCAGTGCTCTAAGGCTGTTTTTAAGCGTTTAATACCTCTTGTGCGTTCCAGCTTTGCTATTCCAATAATCAGTGGGTCCAGAGAAACCCTAGGGCTACAGTAAACTAATAGCAGACAGATCAGGGTATACGGTAGTTTTCAATTCGCTTTTTCAGGCTATTTTCACAACTTTACCCCCTCCTGTGCCCTCCAGCTTGCACGTAAAACCAATTTTCATTTAAATCTCACCAATTCAAAAGCGGTATCCTTTACACTCCTCCATCGTTGCTCGACTTTCGGGCGCAAATGCGTTTTGCAGACAAACGTTTGTGCCATGTGCACGAGCTTGTAACCCTCAACGAGGCGTAGATTGGCCTGGAAAAGAAAATGTCAGAGTTGGGTGATTGAGCCGGACTATTCCGGCAACCGGCGCACCAACCACAAATCTCTTCTCGACAATCCCATCTTTGTTCCCTAGAAACTCGTCGATACTCTTTGCCTCGAATCTCGTCGCGATCAACTCCCCCTCATCCGGAGAGATCTGCTCATCGCAGAGCAAGCATTTGTGCACCTGAAACAAGAACGAGATCGAGAAACACTAGAAATCTCGAATCGGGTCTTATGGTTAGAGCCATGGTCATTCTAAAGACACGTTCTGGATGTCACTAGGCAAAATGGGACCAAAATTCAGCCGGTGGTGGATAAAAGAAATTTTTTCTTTGCCCCTCGATCAGTTGGGCCTCGATTTTTTGACTAATTTAGCAGAGATTTAAAATTAAAAAAAAATAAAACAGTGATCTGGATGTCACTAGGCAAAATGGGATCAAAATCGGGCCGATAGTAGCTGAAAGAAATTCTTGCTCTAGCCCCTCGAGCAACTGGGCCTCGATTTTCGACTAATTTAGCAGAAATTTAAAAAGTTTTAAAAAGAAAACATCAATCTGGATGTCACTAGGCAAAATGCGACCAAAATTCAGCCGGTGGTGGATAAAAGAAATTTTTGATCTACCCCCTCGATCAGTTGGGCCTCGATTTTCGACTAATTTAGCAGAAAAATCAACATTTTAAAAAATAAAACACTGATCTGGATGTCACAGAATATAATAAAATAAAGCTAGGCGAAAAACTCGAAAAAATTTCTTTTGAAAAAATTTTCTTCGCAAAAAAGTTTGCTTCGGTTTCTGATCTCCACAAAAGTTCCTGGACTTCGCTGGGCTTTAGTTCAGCTTACAGGCGCTAGGACTTTCTGATAAGTACGTAAAATCCGGCTTCAGACTCCCAAGGAGTTTCCGAGCCAGTGAGAAGCTCTGATCTGGAGCTGGCTCTAGTCTTACAGCTCCCAAGCGCATAGTTGAGTCCGGCGCAAGCTTGGAAAGCTCCTTTTTGCTTAAAAAGGTTATTTCTATTATATTTGAGCTTTTGGCAAAGAAAAACAAAATGTTTGACCGGCGGCGGATTCGAACCCTCTACCCCTCGCACTCGGTGCCAGCGTGCTAACCATTCGGCCAAAAAAATTTTTGCGATTTTTCCCCAGATTTTTATTTTATTATATTCTGTGATATCCAGATCAGTGTTTTATTTTTTAAATTTTTTATTTTCTGCTAAATTAGTCAAAAAATCGAGGCGAACTGATCGAGGGGTTAAAGCAAAAATTTCTTTCAGCGAGTATCGGCCTGATTTTGATCTCATTTTGCCTAGTGACATCCAGATTGATGTTTTATTTTTAAAACTTTTTAATTTTCTGCTAAATTAGTCAAAAAATCGAGGCCCAACTGATCGAGGGGTTAGAGCAAAAATTACTTTCAGCGACTATCGGCCCGATTTTAATCCCATTTTGCCTAGTGACATCCAGATCACTGTTTTATTTTTTTAAATTTTTAAATCTCTGCTAAATTAGTCAAAAAATCGAGGTCCAACTGATCGAGGGGCAAAGAAAAAATTTCTTTTATCCACCAGCAGCCCGATTTTGGTCCCATTTTGCCTAGTGACATCCAGATTGTCACTCTGACTTCGATTCCCCCTTTCAAACCTTTTTATTCGTTTCCTTGAGCCTCTGATTTCCGTCGTCCAAGTGCCGGGTGCATGTCCACGCCTCGTCACTGCCTTTCTACAAAATTCCCTCATTTTGCTAGACTTTCCAACAAACGTTAATCATTTTGTGCAATCCTTTGATCCGTTTCGCGTCATCGCTGTCAGCAAGCAGAATTCGCTCGATATCCGCCGCTGTCTCCGGCGTGATCCGAGTCTGAAAGCGTTCCGGATAAACTAAAGCTCCATTGCGTCAGAAACGGTGTTTTCCTGGCCATCTGGAGCTCACAGTACGCGCAGGAATTGATTACGGTAATTGGGGCGCACTTTAGAGAGATGCAATTGACCGTTGGAAATAAAAAATTCCAATTTTACTATATCAACTTAATTTTCGTTCTAGATCACGAAATGACATCCAGCTTGGGAGAAAATTTAATTTTCATTACCAAAAACCTCACCAATGTCGCCATTTTCCAGTGACAGTCGCGCTTCGCCTGGTACTCGCATTTAACGCATTTCACGTACATCGATTGGGGCTAGAATTGAATAAAATTGCCTAATATGACCAAATTTTGACTCTAATTCATTTTTAAATGCAAATCTCCAACTCTCACCCCAATCGGTCGCCTCCCGGGCCCACGGGTTTCCGTCTCGTCCACAGCGCTTGTCGAGGGTTCGCTAAAAAAAAATTTGTGACTTTCGCCCAGATTTTTATTTTATTATATTCGGTGACATCCAGATCGATGTTTTATTTTTAAAACTTTTTAGTTTTCTGCTAAATTAGCCGAAAATCGAGGCCCAACTGATCGAGGGGTTAGAGCAAAAATTTCTTTCAGCGACTATCGGCCCGATTTTAATCTCATTTTGCCTAGTGACATCCAGATTGATGTTTAATTTTTAAAACTTTTTAATTTTCTGCTAGATTAGTCGAAAACCGAGGCCCAACTGCTCAAGGGGTAAAGCAAAAATTTCTTTCAGCGACTATCGGCCCGATTTTGATCCCATCTTGCTTAAAAAGGTTATTTCTATTATATTTGAGCTTTTGGTAAAGAAAAACTAAATGTTTGACCGGCAGCGGATTCGAACCCTCAACCTCTCGCACTCGGTGCCAGCGTGCTAACCATTCGGCCAAAAAAATTTTTGCGATTTTCGCCCAGATTTTTATTTTATTATATTCTGTGACATCCAGATTAATGTTTTATTTTTAAAAATATTAGATTCTCTGCTAAATTAGTCGAAAATCGAGGCCCAGCTGCCGGAGGGGTTAGAGCAAAAATTTCTTTCAGCGACTATCGGCCCGATTTTGATCTCATTTTGCCTAGTGACATCCAGATTGATGTTTTATTTTTAAAAATTTTGAATTCTCTGCTAAATTAGTCGAAAATCCAGGCCCAACTGATCGAGGGGTTAGAGCAAAAATTTCTTTCAGCGACTATCGGCCCGATTTTGATCTCATTTTGCCTAGTGACATCCAGCTTAACGAGTTATTTGAAAATTTCAATCTTCTGATGAATTTTTGGTGCCAATCAAGCGTCAAGTCCCTCTCTTCTAGTAAACTCACCAATCTCGCTCTTTTCGATCGTCAGCCTCACGAGTGCTCGACGATCCGACAAGCCGAAGCACATTTTGAGCGATTCTATCCTCGGGATTCGACTCAAATTGACTCTTTTCCAGCTCTTCAGCAGATTCAACGGGTTCTTCTTTGATTTTCTAAAAAAAAAAGCGAGCGAGTTTCAAGCGAGGGTTTGCTGCTTGTTAAAGCCATACCTTGATCAGTTGTCGATCGATTTTCCCTTCTCCTTCTGCATTTTCCTCCTTTCCTTCAATTCCTCTCATTTTTGGGCTTTTCCCAACTTCATCGATCTTCTTCTCTTCGTCGTCAACCTCTGCACCATCAACATGCCCCTGAAATAATTTATATTGCTCAAATTTTACTGTTTCTGGATGATCTGGAACGCACACTAGCTTTCCCAACTAAGTAAATGATCACTAGGGCCGATTGGAGATGGAACACCGAGACTCGTACAGTATCCCTGAGCTCCCGAGGTCCTGGGGAAGGAAATGACCCCCAATTACCATATTACTGGCCGATCTGGAACGCACACTAGCTTCCCAATTGAATAAATGAACTCTAGGGCCGATTGGGGATGCAACATCGAGACTCGTACAGTATTCTGGACTCTCAAGGCTCTAGGAAAGCAAATGATCCCCAATTACCTTTTTTCCGGCTGATCTGGAACGCACACTAGCTTCCCCAACTGAGAAAGCTAGTGTGCTGGCAACTGGCTAGTCTGGTCAAAGCTGCTCACCTCGAATCTCCTCATTTTCCTCTTCCTGCCACTCCTCCTCAACGCAATCTCGCTGCTCGCTTTCGGCATGATCCCGTCGATCAAATTGCTCAATCGGGGAAGCGACGTCTGAAAGAGGAAAGTGCCGGTTTAGTTACCCAGCTCACCTCGTCATTCGCTTCCGGCTGCACGTCGTTATCGATGGATTTTGGCGCAACATTGGCGTCGAGATTCTTGCGTGGCCGGCCAACTTTTCCCTAGGATCATTTTAGGCAATTATGGCTACTTGAATTCTTTAGTGTGCTATCCAAAAAGCACAAAAGTTAGCTGGGGTTTTGTTTAGACGATCGTTTTGCACTGAATTCTCTCAGAAACTCGAATTTGAAGCTTTTTCTCAATGAAAAACCCAAAAAGCATAAGAAATCGATAAGCTGAATAGCTTTAGAATTTCTCGCCATTTTCTACCGTAATCCGTTTCCTACCGTAATCCGTTTTCTACCGTAATCCACTTCCAAACGTAACCCCATTCCTACCGTAATCCGTTTCCTACCGTACACCGTTTCCAGACGTAATCCATTTCCTACCGTAATCCGTTTCCTACGGTAATCCGTTTCCTACGGTAATCCGTTTCCAAACGTAACCCCATTCCTACCGTAATCCGTTTCCTACCGTAATCCGTTTCCTACCGTAATCCGTTTTCTACCGTAATCCGTTTCCTACCGTAATCCGTTTCCTACCGTAATCCGTTTCCTACCGTAATCCGTTTCCAAACCGTTTCCAAACAAATTCCCCGTCACCAACCTTTATCTTCACCTCGACTCCAGGATTTTTCCTTGGCCGTCCTCTTCCCCGTCTTCTTTCTCCATTCACCAACGGTTTTGGGTCATCTTTATAGTGAATATCCTTTAAAATAGACATTATTCAATTCAATAGACAATTCTATAGACAATTCTATTCATTAAATGCAAATCAAACCCTTACCGCTAGCAGTTCCCGAGTTAAAAAGTGTTCCTCCAATTTTGCGTCCTGTTTAAGGCGCTCGGCTTCCTGAAATGCGAATTTTTTAGCGATCTGGAAGTCACAGAAGCTTTCTAAAGTGCTCACGATAAATTTCGCCAGATTTTTCGGAATGTGCTGCTCACAGATCGAGATGTTCTTTGTACCTTTCTGAAAAAAAGATATTCAGCTAACGAGCTGCGTATTTTCAGCCAATCTGGATGTCATTTAATCATTTGGAAATGAGAAATTTGCATACCGTAAATACTGAAATACTGTAATTGGACCCCACCCCTCTAATAGTACCCCACCCCGACCCCACCCCGACCCCACCCCCACCCCACCCCCACCCCATCCCACCCCTCTAATACCGTATTTACTCTATTAGTGGGGTCCCCCACTATTAGAGAAATTTAAAAGAACATAAAACCAAAGTTTTAACTTGAAAAGAGATCAATTTTTCTCCGAAATTCTTGAAAAAACAAGTTTGGCTTCATATTTTATTTAGCTTTAACCGTAACAAAACATTAACAAACAGTAAAAGAACTAATCCAAGAGATCAACAATTGATGTATCACTTTCGTTACCAATATTAGAGAGGACCCCACTATTTTTTCAACCCCCCTCCAGACGACCCCACTATTAGAGAGGACCCCACTAATAGAGTAAATACGGTAGTACCCCACCCCACCCCTCTAGTATCCCCCCCGAGCTGCCGAGCGAATTTGAGAAGGCCATCGTCGAGTACATTCTGAGGCTGAACAAGATAATCAAAGAAGGCGATTACAAGCACATTGTTGCTTGCGATGAGATGGCGGTTTGGCTGGATGCTTCGAAGTGCATCGAAGCGGTTGGAGCCAAAGAAGTTGTTGTTCTCACCCGCGGCTACGAGAAGATGAATATATCCGTGATGCTCACCGCTCGTTCCGATGGGAAAAACTTGCGCCCCTTTTCCAGTCTTGGAAAGCGATGAACAAAAAAAAAATCGAGACAAAGTTCCAATCGAAGCTATTGCTCTGTTGGGAAGAGAAGAAAAGCAAGTGCTTCGATAATGAGATCACGGCGGAATACTTGTAACGCTCTTTCGGTGGACTTATCTTTAATTATTATCTTTAATTATTATCTTTCATTATTATCTTTAATCATTCTCTTTAATCTATTGTACAGGCGATGAGAAATGCTCGAACAGAGACAGAAATCAAGGACCTCTTGGAGCGGCTTGCATCGACTGGATTTCAAGAACATCGAGGAATTGATGATCAAGAAAATGATGAATTCATTGATTCGGGCCAATTACAGTATTTACGGTATATTTAAAAAAGAAATTTTTAGTGCAAAATAGAAAACAGATTTTGCAGATTAACCAATTTCTTTTTCTTCCTTTTCTTAAACTAACGAAATACCCTTTTCCTTGACATCAACTCGTTATCCAGCCTCAAATATCGATCGATCATTGACACTTCCCACGTTTGAAGCACGTTTCGCATTAAACGCCGCTCCGTTGAGACGAAATTTCGGTGATGACAAATGAAGCAAGCGATTGTCTGAAAGTAATCGGTCAACCCTCAGCTAGAGCTTTATAATTTTGCCCTTCTGGAAGTCACAGCGTCGTTCTATAACGGTTTTAAAGCTTTTTCTAACATTTGGACTTCTTGACAATCTTGACTGAAGGACTATAGGTTAAAATCTAAAGCAATCGGACAAATCCCAGTTAGCGCTTTGCAATTTTGTCTATCTGGAGGTCACAGCGTAGTTCTAGAACCTTTTTGAGAATTTTGACAGTGTTTGGGTGATTCAGTACTGACAGTAATTCGTCGCATCACTTTTCAGCGCTCAACAGCGCAAGTACCCCCATTTTTTGGCTCCAATCATAATCCTGGATGTCACCACATCTTTTGCACTCACCTCCAAATCGTGAAAAGTCTTCTGTCGGAAGCCGAGTCGCCGGGCCAACGGGGTCACCTCAAGACAGCGCTCTTCACGCAAAATCTCACGCATCTCCGGCGTGACGTGATGCTTGCAAATTTGCACTTTCACAAGGCGGCCTTGTGTGTCATCTCGATCACGAAATGCCTACAAAAGTATTAGTTATTAGGGGTGAATTCGAAGCCATGGCCGGACTGTACCTGGAGTCCGGACCGGACTCCCGGTACAGACTAGGCAAGGCCAAATCCAGGGAAAATCTGGCTTTATGTGGGCCAGGACGGGAATAAAGTCAAGCCAGGTAGTCAAGCCAGGTAGCCAAGCCAGGCAAACAGGTAAGGCAACCAGTCCAGGCAGACAGGCCAGGCAACCAGTCCAGGTAGCCAGGCCAGGTAGCTAGGCCAGGCAAGCAGGTCAGGCAGCCAGGCCAAGCAACCAGGCCAGGCAGCTAGACCAGTAGCCCCAGGCCCGGCCAGGTAGCCAGACCAGGCAACCAGACCAGGCAACCAGGCCAAGCAACTAGGCCAGGCAAATAGGCCAGGCAACCAGGCCAGGCAGCTAGACCAGTAGCCCCAGGCCAGGCAACCAGGCGGATTCAGGTCCAGGTTCTGAACTACAGGGACAGGCCAGCCTAGGGTTTCACAGAAGTCAAGTAAGATCAGAGCAGGCAAATTCAAGTCTGCCTTCTGGTGGGGATCAAATTTTCGTTTTTTCAGCGAATCTCGATAGCATTTAAGCGTTTGGCAATGAAAAAGTTGCAAATATCGGAAAAATTATTTCTATTGCACAGAAGCCAGGATCTTAGCTTCTGGCCTGTTTCTGGATTTGGCAAAACGGAGCAAATTGCCTCTGGAATAAAGCTAGCTACAAAGCTAGGTACAAAACTAGCTACAAAGCTAGCTACAAAGCTAGATACAAAGCTAGAGACGAAGCTAGAGACGAAGCTAGAGACAAAGCTAGAGACGAAGCTAGAGACAAAGCTAGAGACAAAGCTAGAGACAAAGCTAGAGACAAAGCTAGAGACAAAGCTAGAGACAAAGCTAGAGACAAAGCTAGAGACAAAGCTAGAGACAAAGCTAGAGACAAAGCTAGAGACAAAGCTAGAGACAAAGCTAGAGACAAAGCTAGAGACAAAGCTAGAGACAAAGCTAGAGACAAAGCTAGAGACAAAGCTAGAGACAAAGCTAGAGACAAAACTAGCTACAAAATGCGTTCCAGACCTGATTTCTCTTCAATTTCACTGACCTTTATTGCTTTAACGATGCCAGAATTCGATCCGATCAATTCATCCAATCGTTTCCCCATTTTTTTCGATAAAACCTCTCTTTTCTGGGTGCTGTTTAAGGCGTCGCCACAAATACAGCACTCAAATTTCTAAAAAGGAAACCTTTTTTATTGATTAAGCTTTTAAAAATAGCTTTTTTTAAGCTCAAAATATGAAAAACATGCAAATAGAAAGCACTCAAATTTCCAGCTTTCTGCTAGAAATCCGTTGAAACCCGTTGAAACCCGTTCACCGGTGTTTAACGTTCAATTCTACAAAGCTTTTGTTTAAACCCGTATATTTCTGCGATCTGGCAGTCACAACAACTTTCTAAGCATTTTCCAGTATCGGCTGCTGTTTTCTTAATGAAGTCGTTAAGTCATCGCCGAGCTCGGATGGCTTTACCCCTCTTTAAAGACTTTCGCAATTTTTCTAAAGCCATTAATGTAAATCCTGGAAGTCACAGCAGAGCTTAAAGTGATGGGAAAATCAATTTGGTACTTTTTCAGGAAAAAATATTCCAGTTGATGATTCGGTGCTAGTGAAAATTTTTTAAATGCTTTCTGCTCAAAAATTCTTTTACCCTGACCTGATGTGACTGCCAGGATCGCCAAAAATCGATTAAAAATTGGGGCAAGGCTGGAGGGAAAAGCTAAAAACTCATCAGAGAAGTCAGCGCCAAGCTCGAACGGCTTTACCCCTCTTTCAAGGCTTCTACAACTTTTCTAAAGCCATTAATGTAAATCCTGGAGGTCACAACAGAGTTTAAAGTAATGGGAAAATCAATTTGGTACTCTTTGAGGGAAAGGGGAAAAATATTGGAGTTGATTCGGTCCAGAATCGGTGTTAGTGAAAATTTTGAAAATGCTTTTTGCTCAAAAATTCTTTTTACCCTAAGCCGATGTGACTTCCAGGATCGCTAAAAATCGATTAAAAATGGGGGGAAGGCTGAAAGGATAAGCTAAAATCTTATCATGAAAATCAGCGGGATTGAAAGCGACAGGCTTAGGGCTCTATTCTCCGTTATTAGGGCTCTATTTTACACTATACTTAAAGTATTCGACTTTCTCAGCATTCACCTTGACTTTCTTCTCTTGCATCTCTTTTGCTCCGTCGACAATGTGCCGTTTGCAGACGAAAAAATGCTGACGAGCCTGGAATTACGAAAATTTAAAATGAACAAATCTTTCCATTTTCATTTTCGGCCAAGCTGGAGCTCACAGAACATTTTGCTGAAGTCAGATTTTTAATTTCTTTCGTTTTTGATTCGACACTTTGTACTGGAGATTTTGTACAGTACGCTGTACACTTACGAACGTTCAAAGACTAATGTCGCACTCTTTCAACAGCTCTTTATTCTTCCCATTACCCTTCCCGAAACGCACTCTCATTTTCTCTCGGATTCGCTCGATGTGCACTCCGCGAATCCCGCGCTCGATGATTTTTTCGATTCGCGATGCCTCCGTCCACTCGATTCGTTTCTAAAAAAGAAATGTCAAGATTTCTCTTTATTAAAGTCCAGTGTGACTTCCAGAAGGCACAGTCAACTCATTGGAAAAATCGTTTTCCCAAAATTTCCCTTACAAACACCGACCGTCAAATCCATTGGTTACCTAGGTTCAAAATCTTGCTAAAGTCGAGATTTTCTTTTCTAAATGCCTAGTGTGACTTCCAGAATGCACATTCAAGTCGTTTACAAAAGTCGTTTTCTTCAACTTTCCCTTAAAAACAACGATCGTCAAATCCATCGGTTACCTAGGTTCAAAGTCGGTTCAAAATAGGTTCAAAACTTTGTTAAAGTCAAGATTTCTCTTTATCAAAGTCTAGTGTGACTTCCAGAATGCACAGTCAACTCATTGGAAAAGTCGTTTTCTTTAACTTTCCCTTAAAAACAACGACCGTCAAATCCATCGGTTACCTAGGTTCAAAATCGGTTCAAAACTTTGTTAAAGTCAAGATTTCTCTTTATCAAAGCCTAGTGTGACTTCCAGAATGCACATTCCATTCATTGAAAAAATCGTTTTCTTTAATTTTCCCTCAAAAATACCGACCGTCAAATCCGTCGCCTAACTAGTGAATTCAAAATCTTGCTAAAGTCGAGATTTTCTTTTCTAAAGGCCTAGTGTGACTTCCAGAATGCACATTCAACTCGTTTACAAAAGTCGTTTTCTTTAACTTTCCCTTACAAACACTGACCATCGCGTTTCCGTCATCGCCCAGCAAGTCAATCACTCGTCCGCACTTCACGCACTCGGCCATTTGGGTGCGCTTTTCCTCGACTTTTATCTGAAAAAGAGTTTTTGCACGTTTAAAAGCAGTTATTTTCCAAATTTTCACCTCATTTCCCATGAGTGGAACCGATTTTTCAAAATCCTCAAAATTTGCGAAATTTGCGCAATTTTGCTGAAAAATTTCAAAATTTCAAAATCTCAAATTTGAGACAAACTTTTTCGTTTCCCGCTTCTCGGAGACAATAAGGATGATCGTTTTGAATGGATTCGGGGAAAAGGCGAAAAATCGACGCTTTTCCCTCATCTGTCGGCGATTTTGAGGCCTAAAATCGGATTTTTGATAAGGTTCCGAAATCGTTCCGAAACCGAAATCCCAAAAGTCACTGGGGAACATTTTTAAATGATTAAGATCGTGTAGTGCCTTCCAGATCGGCTAATGAAAACTTTATGGAATCCTCCGGAAGCGGATTAGAGACAAAAAAGCATCGAAGAGCCACCTGGGGAAACCACCTTAACCTTAGAAAGACACAATGCAACCATAACCCCGTAAAAATTCCTAGTGCGTTCCAGATCGGCCAATGAAAACTTTATGGAATCCTCCGGAAGCGGATTAGAGCCAAAACAGCATCGAAGAGGCACGGGGGGAAATCACCTTAGCCTTAAAAAGACAAAATGCAACCGTAACCCCTTAGAAATTCCTCGTGCCTTCCAGATTGAACGATGCAGCCTTTTGGAAACCAAGGCAACTCACCAACAGCATGAATACGGTATCCGAAAAACTGACCGTTGCCAAGAATTCGGAGACATCGAATTCCTCATAGTCATCGTCGATTTCATTGTCGTCTTCTCCATTTTCCTCTTCTTCCTCGTCATCCTCTTCATTGGATTCAATCTCGTAGTCGTCGGGCTCTTCGATTTTCTGCAAAATCGACTGATACAAGTTTAAAATCGAAAATTACCGGCTCGAGACCCGTCCACCGGTGTTAACCGTTCAATTCTACAAAACCTCTTTTTAAACCCGTATTTTTCTGCGATCTGGCAGTCACAACAGCTTTCTAAGCATTTTCCAGTATCGGCTGTTGCTTTCTTAATGGAGTCATTAGTCAACGCCAAGCTCGGATGGCTTTACCCCTCTTTAAAGACTTTCGCTATTTTTCTAAAGCCATTAATGTAAATCCTGGAAGTCACAGCAGAGCTTAAAGTGATGGGAAAATCAATTTGGTACTTTTGAGGGAAAGGGAAAAATATTGGAGTTGATTTATTAGTAAAAATTTTGAAAATGCTTTCTGCTCAAAAATTCTTTTCCCTAACCCGATGTGCCTTCCAGGATCACCAAAAATCGATTAAAAATTGGGGCAAAGCTGGAGGGAAAAGCTAAAAACTCATCAGAGAATTTAGGTCGATCTGGTGCGCAAAAAAAGACCAAAATTCTCTAATCCAAAATCGTTTTTCCGTAAAATTTCCATCATTTTCTTCACATAAACCCTTTAAAATTCCCTTTTTCAATGTTTCTTTTCATTTTTTTCAAACGAACCACATTTTTCCCATTGGCAAAGAGGTCATTTGGCGGCTCGCGTTGCTCATTTTTCGGTAAATTCATCTAAAATCATGAAAAACTTATCAAAAAGCAACTAAACTTTAAAGAAAAGCGTTAAAATCGAGAACTCGACATAAAAAAATGAATTTTCACGAATTTTCCGGGAAAAACATGCGCCTATCTGCTGTGGAAATTATTTTGCGCTCCAATCAACATCTGCTCCAATTACCGTACTCCAATCGCATTGGGATTCACGAAAATTCTCATTTTTTCAAATCCCATTTAGTCAAGATGTCATTTGTTCAGTCTTGGAACAAAAATTCATCAATAAACGAGAAAATCACAAAAATAAATGAAAAAAAGTGGTTAAAGTCAGTCAGAAATAGTCAGAAACAGTTAAAAATAGTTGGAAATAGTTAAAAATTGACAAAATTTTATAGAAATGGTAATTAAAAGTAAAATTTGACATAGATAGCTTCAAATTAAAAAATAAAAATAAAAAATTACACAATTAGAGCTGAAAATTTTTTCCATACAATCGCTTGGCTGCCACTTGAGTGGCCTGGAGGATCTGATCGAGCGGGATCTTTGAGAAAACCGGGCCATCATCCGGATCAATCGTTTCCTCTTTTGGGACTAAAATTGAAAATGAATACCGTAATACCGTAATACTGTAACACCGTAATACTGTAACACCGTAATACCGTAACACCGTAATACCTCTAATAGTAGCGCCCCGCGCCCGTACAGTCGCGTAGTCGCGTAGTTTTACTAAATTTCTTTAGTAAATTCCTAAATTTTTCTAAGCGTCCATAATTTCTAAAAATATATGTTTGCTATTAAAAAAATAGCCCTAAATTTCAGCTTTCATTTGATACTTAAACGCACACTTTAGCACAAACAAGTGACGAGAAAAATGCGTTTAAAGTTAGACTACGCGACGCTTCGACCGTCATTATAGGAGGGGGCTACTTAGAGATAGGAGGGCGCCACTTAGAGGTATTACGGTAGGCAGTGTTTCAGGCTGGGTGGCAAGCTTTCGTTTAGCGATTACAAATTCTGTGTAAAAGACTATCTCAGCGAACGGGGGAATTGATTGCGTAATTGAACCGTGGTCAATTTCTTGAAGGGTTTCTCACCTAGGCAAAAGATTCTACGATACTTTACGCCACAATTCTACCGTATTTCTTATGTGCTGCTCATTCTATGAAATGGGAAAACATCCGTGCTACGGTTGTAGATTGTAGACTTGTAACAAAAACATCAGTCGGGCTGACTAACTAACCGAGAGACGCCAAATCGTTCCCGTCGAGATGCCCATGCACATGAACGTTGCAGTAGCGGAGAATGTAACTGAAAGGGAGAATTTAAGAGCATTCAACCGAAACACTCACTCTCCATCCTCCAGCAACTCGACGTTGTAATAAGCTGGGCACACTTTGTGCACCTCTCCAGACTCTCTCCTCCCTTGTGCGAGCTCTTTGGAGCATCTGAAAATGAAATGAAATAAACTAAACAAAGTCTACGTTCGCACCTGTAATTCTTGAATTTGGACAGATTTTTCTTCGACTTCACCAAATGCGCGTCGCTCGTCACGGCCGCGTCGATTTTAGCCTAAATCTTTTTACGTTACGGTGCAATGGCTAGTGTGCGTTCCAGATCAGCCAGAAATACGGTAACTGGGAGACAATTGTTTTCCCAGGGCCTCGGGAGCTCAGGGATACTGTGACCTGGATGAGCCATAAATGTTACTCCCGATTTTTGCCCTAGTGATCATTTACTCAGCTCGGAAAGCTAGTGTGCTTTCCAGATCAGCCAGAAATATGGTAACTAGGGACCAATTGCTTTCCCAAGTCTCGTGATTACTATAATAAACGAGCCATCCAAGCCTACCTGCACTTGTTCCCAGAATTTTATTCGTTCCTGCTGAATGCGCACATTTGTGGCCGCGTGGTACTCGGTACAGTGATGGATCAACTTTAGATGGGTCTGAAAAAGGAAAAATTTTAGCAAAAAATTAGATCTAGCACAGTTTTTAGTTCTCGTGACCGTCCGTTTCTTCTTTTGCTATTGCCAATCTAACCTTGACCTCAAATTTCTTGACACATAATTGTCCGATTGAAACAATTTTGGTATCATTAAATTCGCCACGTCTTCCTCTGTTGATTGATACCAAAATTGTTTCAATCGGACAATCGTGTGTCGAGAAATTTGAGGTCAAAGTTAGCTTGGCAATGACAAAAAGGGGTGGACGGTCATCTATTGCACGGGAATCCAGCTTTAATCTAAAAAATCCCATTTTTGGCTTGAAAAACAGATTCAGAGTGAGCTTATGCACTAAAAACGATCAACAATTGAATTACCGTGAAAAGTTCGGCGCAAAATGGACACTGGAGGCAACACTGAGAAAATCCGGGACATCCGTGCAATAAGTGCTCATCAATGACGCCTAAAAAGAAGATTTTACATGAAAACTTGAAAAATCTCACCTCCAGACAGCTCTTTCCCGCATGGACCCGGGCAAATTTGGCGCTGGCTTCTCCTGGAAAAAGTTAAAGATTTGAATCGCCTTTTGCTAACGACAATTTCAAGATCAAATCGATTTCCCTCACTACTTGTTCAAGATTTGTAAAATGTTCAAAACAAAAGTTCCAAGCTGGAACACATTCAAGCCACTCCGAATAACCGACCAAACGCCTTTCAATTTCTTCTTGAGCGCCGTGCCGCGTGGGCGTTGGATGTAGGGGGGACAACCGAAACTGACGTGCTCCTTCACGCAACCTGTAACGGAGTAAATGGCAAAAAAAATCGCGGTAACCACTCACTGATCGACAGCTCGCGTCCGCATCGACCCGGGCAAATCGCGCGTCCGACTTTCCTGGAAAGAAAATAATGGTTCTCGATGACCGGGGTTTGATGACTAAATTTTTAAATGTCTACAGTTCGATAACTAGAGTTCGATCATCTCATTTGAATGTTTTTCCTGGAGATCTGGAATGCACAAAAGCTATTTTAATCATTTGCCCGAACCTGGAAAACTTTTAGCATATCACCCTCATTGCCGATCAGCTCCGATCGGGTTTATTCTCGTTTAGGTCAATAATTTTTTTTAAATAAAACATTTCAATAATAAATCTGGATGGCACTTTACATATCCTATCTCAAAATTTTCAGATCAGGACTTTTCAAAACTTTTCAGTCTCGGCAAACCCGTTTTCTAAAAGGCGTTGTCTTAAGGAAAACTATCGTAATCCTTTGCTTCAATCCATAGCCTTAAAATTCTCCGGTACCGTCGCCCAGTTTTGGCGCTAACTACTAAGAAAATCATCCGAGCTAGAGTAGCCTGGCTGCTAAAAGAGAGACGGATGATTTATGGGTGACTCGCTATTGATCAAGATTGTCAAAACTCAAAAACAGCCAAAGGTAGCCTTTTCTGGGACGCACTTTTTAGAAAAAGATTCACTCATTATCTACGGTAAGTAGAGTAGTTTACAGAAGCACAGTGGTTTTCCAAAAGGCACTAAAAACTACCATAATTCACCGACCGGCTTTCATTCAATCAGCTCAATTTGGATATATTCGAGCCCAATGCTCAATTAAATGATGCAAAAATTTGGGGTAATCAATTGGAAAAACTGGAGGCTGGATTACTGTAGTTTTCCAGTGCCTTTTAGCAAAACACATTGACATTTCGTTCCCCAAAAACTCACCACGATATTGTCGGCTCCTCAGTGACTTGAATTTTTGGTGGTGCCACATACGGGGTGACCAACGAGACGAGTTTCGAGTCTAGAATTGAAAAATTAATAAACTTCCAGATCTAGACGAATAAAGAATTATGGAACCCATTAGAAGTTATAAAGGCTGGCTGAAGATCGACTTGTATTGTAGCTGAAGATCGACGGATTTTGTAGGCGAGCTCTTTTTGGATAACAAGTTACTACGTTGATCAGCCAACGTGGTAACTTGTTATCCAAAAGAGCGATTTTGCTAATGCTTTGGATTTTGCTTAGTTGGAGCGCACGTTGAAACTTGTTGCAAGAAGTTTTTTCCTAACCCGCATTGAAACTTTTACTCGTTGTGCCTTGTTAGTAAAAACCCCATGAGCTCTAGAAATCTAGATAATACCTTGACTCCCGTTCGCTTTCCGGTACAATTCGAGTTGCCTCTTTTTGACAATGATCGGACGAGGCGGTGGTGGCTCTTTTTTCATCATCGGCGCGCTTTGGCGCATCTAAAAATTTTGTTTGGGTATGGTTCTCAAGGTGGCTTTTGCTCAATATAAACTATAACTATAAAGCATCATAGCACTCCTGGCTGAGTGATTGTCTGTGATTGCTTTTGGGCGCTCGAGAGCTCAAGTGTCGCTGGTTCGACTCCAGGTAGTGACAACACACACAACACAAGCTTTGAAAGCTTTATAGCGCAAATCTTTCTAACAAACCTTCGAAATCCTTGGCCTGATCACAACTTTTTGCTTCTCTTCCTCTTTGAACAGCGCCATCATCAGATCAATTTTGCCATCGTTGGCTTCGATCTAGAAATTTTGAATCAAAACAATGTGAAAAGCGAAAAATTATTTAAAAATCCTTTTACAGCAGTAAAAAAACAAAAAAATTTCATTTTTTAAGTCTAATTTTGTTTGTTTAAAGCTTCAAAGTGCTGTAATGTTTAAACAAAATTCTTTTTTCTTTTTCACAATCAGAGGTGGAATGAAATCCAATTAATTGTCCCCTTAAATTTTAAAAATTCAAATGAAATTTTGAATTGTACAATTAAATTTTAATACTTAAAATTATTCATACTTTAATACTTAATACTTTAAATTATTCATACTTTAATACTTAATACCTAAAATTTATTTCGTTCTACTTATTAGGTTGTTCAGAAATAAACAAGCGTTGCTAAACTTATGTTTTAAAAGCTTCTCTCACAACAATGTCTTTCTGTATTTAAAAGTATGTTATCTCGTGCATATTTGGAATCTTTTTAAACAAATAATTTCTTACTTTAGATGACCGACTTCAAAAAAATCGAGTTCGCGTTCGCCTACTTTACGACTTCAAACTGGGCAAAACAGTAGCGGAATCCTATCGAGATTTGGTTAAAATATTTGGGAATGATGTATTGTCCGAAAACCGATGCCGAGCCTGGTTCTAACGCTTTCGGAATGGTGATGAAAGTCTCGAGGATCATGAACACTCTCGTCGAGCTCAAGCGGTAGACAACGATACTTTGAGGACTGCAATCGAATCGGATCCATGTCAAATGACGCGTGAACTTGCTTGCTTGCTTACTACTTGCTCAACAGTTTCTATGTTCAAATTCTACTATTGATGAGCATCTCGACGCCATTGGAAAGACGATCTGATGCGGGAAATGGCTTCCTCAAGAGTTAAGCCGTGCAAACGCAGTCGTTGATATCCGAACATTGCGAAACGCAGTTGTTTATATCCGAACATTGCGAAACGCAGTTGTTTATATCCGAACAACCTAATATATTTAACAGGCCCAATTAAATTTCAAAGTAAAACGCAAAATTTGCAAAATCTAAGTACTCCTAATTCAATTTTAATTAAGCGTAACAAAAATTTAATCACCCAAATCAAATAGAATAATTCAATTTGATTTCATCCCATCTCAACTATACAATTCAAATCTTACCTTGAAAACGCTTTCTTTTGTGTCCTTGCTGCAGCCGGGGCGCGAATCCATTACAAGATTTGAGCAGGGTAGAGAAATCACGGATTAACTGAATCATTATTTATAATTTATTCGGCAAATGAAAAAGAAAGTGAACCAGTAAAGCAAAAGCAAAAAAACATAATTGAAAAGAGTACTGAGAATAAGAAATTTAGAGTAAAAATAAAGCGAAAACGAAAACGAATAAGTGGGTGGAATGACAGCTCGAAGCCGAAGCTCTTCTAGTTATTATAAACTAGCTTCACGATAGGAATTCAAAACTTGCCTTGAAATACCTTTCAACACAAAGAATAGCAATTATTGTGCTAGACAAGAAATTGCTCAGTGCTTTACGGTTAATGGGCTTGGCCCGGTTAATGGGCTTGGCCCGGTTAACGGGCTGGGGGTTTTGACAAACTTGCAACTTTTTAATTTTTAAGCACTCAACTACAGTTTCTCCCCCGCAAACTATGTTAAAATGATGTTTTTTTGGTCCCACCTTTTTTAGGTTGAGTACAAATTTAGGTGCTTTCCGGTTAACGGAAGGGATAAAAAATTTTGAACATTTTGCAGCCCGATTTTAAACGTTTTTTGTTGATAACTTTTGATGAAATAAATATTTTCTGAAAGCTAACGTTCTAAGCTATCTAAAGCTTATAAAAACTTGCTGATCTGGCCGCTGAGTTTGCTGAAGTTTAAGGTATTTTAAGATGTTTTAATGGTTAGAGGTGTTTCCGAACGTTTTAAGAAAATTTTAATTTTTTTTGAACAATTTTTGCCTTGGGGGACCAAGGAAAAAGACCAAAAATTCCAAAAAAACGCAAAACCCGGTAGTCAGATGTCGAAATTCGTACTCAACATAAAAAATGGGCGCAAAAAAACCATTTTAACATGGTTTGCAGGGGGTGGGAGAGAAACTGCAGTCTTACCAGCACCTTAAACTTGTCAGATCAGAAAGTTTTAATAAGATTTAGATAGCTTAGAACATCAACTTTCAGAAACTATTTGTTTCATCAAAAGTTATCAACCAAAAACATTTAAAATCGGCCTGCAAAATGGTTAAAAACTCGCCCCTCCCCCCGATAACCGTAAAGATCCAATTGGCTCGTTTAAAAATGGGGAGAGATGATCAATTTCTAATACTAATTGGTAGGGAATTCCTTGCTCTGATAATTCTTCAAAGTTCTCCAAGAAAACTAGAAGTTAGCGCAAAGCTATAGGCTAAAAGCTAAAAGCAAAGCTAAAAGCTAAAGGCTGAAGGCAAAGCTAAAAGCTGAAGGCAAAGCTAAAGGCTAAAGGCAAAGCTAAAAGCTGAAGGCAAAGCTAAAGCTAAAAGCAAAGCTAAAAGCTAAAAGCAAAGCTAAAAACCCGTCGTATTTTCTATTTTGACCGATAGCAATGCTATTAAGTTATTCAAGAAAGCTTGAAAATTAGTGCAAAACAGCAAAGGATACGATATAATGAGCTAATAGCTAAAAAGCTAAAAAACCGACCTCGCGGATAAGTCAGTCTAATGATTGTAAGCAAGTTTGCAAAAATTTAAGGTAAAAAAAGTTTCTTACAATCATTTATTGAGTCTTTTGGCCGACATAGCGTCGGCATCGATCCCGTAAACAGTTGTGCTGCGTACATTTTACAAAATTGCCAGAGAAAACAAATCTTTTCAGCCAATTAAATAAATGAAAAAAATGCCGTACTCTGAAAATTTGTCAAACTAAAATGCGCTAAATTTCAGACAAAAACTTCAATTAATGAACTTTTAATGCTGATAAGCTGAATATCTTTTCTCTGCGCAATGGACTTATAAAACAAAGTTTTGTGAGAGTCTTCATTTTCATTTTCTTTCGCTCCGCCTCTTCGTGCGCTTCCGCTCATTTTTAATCATGTTCTGTGATTTCACGCTTTTTTTTAAAAGAGCTATTCGAGAATTGATATCCTTTATACATTTCCATCACGTAAACCGCTGTTTCTCCCCTACAACAATACAAAACACGTTTCGTTTATGCAACCATTTCGCCAAAGACCTTTGATTTTCTCATAAGAACTTTTGTTGCAACGAAATCTTGAAGAAAATGAAGAAAATGCCAAAATGAAGAAAATTGTTCGAATCAACTCTTGTTTGCGTTTAAATTAAGGGTTTCATTCTTTTTTCGGTTTCATTCACAAAGAAATGAAGCGCTTTTTTCGTGAAATTGTTGGCGAAACCCTGTTTTTTACCTAGATTTTCTTGGTTTTGCTTAAATTTATTCAAAGCTGTGATCAAAGTTGACATTTTGCTTTAGAGCAAGCTTTTAAGAACGCTATGAATGCGCTTTTTTTGAAAAGTCGTTGACGTTGCTACCCTAAATTTCCTTGGTTTGCTTAAATTTATTCAAAGCTGTGCTCAAAATCTATGTTTTGCTTTTCTTAAATTTCGTTAAACTTTTACCTTTCTTCGCTTCCTTTCACGTTCTTAATGTCATGATAACCATTTCTTCTTTAGAAACGAAGCGATGGAGTTGTGGAGGTCGGCGCCGGCCTCTTGCTCGGGCTTCGACTCGGTTTTCAATGAGATTGACGAGGACATTCGACGATTGCAACGAAAAGGATCATCCAATACGTAAGTTTAGCTGGGTTCCTTGTTCAACAAAGCCAGTGAGGTCACCTTTGCACTAATTGTGCTTGCAAGTTTATGTCTTTGAATCTTTTGGAGTGACCACTTGACGGCAAAATCTTTGCAGAATGTTTAAAACAAATTGAGTGCAAGTACACTAGTGTAAAGCTGTCTTCCAATGTAATATAGCACGATGAAAACAATTATTAAGCGTGCTAAACTCGTAAAGTTTCGAAAATTTGGTATAAAAGATGATTTAAGACATTGGCAACTTTGTTTAATCCTTTAAATCTTGATGAAAATTTTGTTTTGAAGGTTAACTACTCGTTATTACGTTGGAATTGAAGTTGTTGGGTAGAGCGAGTTATATTGTTCCATTTTTCATGCTTTCTTTTCAAGCGCATCCGATGTTCTTCAAGAAAACGACAAAGCGGTGGATAAAGAAGGAGAGGATCCAAACCAAAAGTCATGGGTGGACGAGTGGATCGACAGCTTCTCACTTGACGGTGTGATGGAGAAGAAAGCCGATGTGAGCGACAAAGAGAATTTATCGCCAGGCCGTCGGATCACCAGAAGTCAAACCGTTCAAATCAAACGCATCACCGAGTTTCTCGCCAATGATTTGATCGACAGTTGCACTTTGGGGGCTTGCTTTCGTGCGCATCGTGAATTGGCAAAAGCAAATGGGAAATTTGAAGGAATCCAACAGCCGATCGAGCACCCGAAGAAACTCTACAATTTGAGCAAAATGGCGACGGAGTGTTTGAATTGCGGGCGATTGCTTGGAGCAAGGTATTATGCGGCACATTTATCAAGTTGTCTCAACTTGCGCAAGAGGACGTCAAATCGAAACAGTCAAGCGCAGAATTTGGCACGACCTCAACGTGCAACCAATCAAAAGATTCGAAAATCTCCATACAAGATTGAGAGGAATTTCGTCGGGAAATCAGGTTAAGCCAAAGATTTATTGTTTTGTTACGGGTATCAATATACTATCCTTTTGAGGATTATAATAAATATTTATTTGTTAAAGGTTGAAGTTAACGATCATTCAATGTCATTTCATCTACTGTAAATACTGTAATTGAAGAGCACCCTCGCCACACAAAATTGGTCACCCAAAAAGTCACTACCTTTGAAAAAGAGTTTGGCTGAAGAATGCTTAGAATGGTGTATGTGGGCTGTATGTATAACCTAGAAGGGTGGGCAGTAAAATTTAAAATGATCAAAAATACTTTGGGCAAAAAGATTGTAAGGAGGCCCTTATCATTTTCGAGAGCCTTCAGGGTCAAGGCCGAAAAAATTTTCGTGTTTTAAATAGGTTTTTTGTTCGTTTTAGAGCATTTCCAATCGAGCTAGAGTAATTGTAAAAGCTTCTTAAAAAGATTTTGTATGGTCCCCCGATTTTTCGGGGTGTCCGAAAAAGGATAGGGAAAAAAATAGAAGGGCATGCCCTTCAATTACAGTATTTATGGTAATAATTGGGATATTCTCAAAGTCTTTGGGTATTATTGCTTAAGCTTATTTAAATTCCCCAAGATGTCCTTAAAGTTCAAACAATATCATTACACAATCATATCAAGATTCATTTCTTTTAATTTTCAGTGTTGGTGCTTTCTCTTCTCCGGCCTCATCGAGTGCAAATTTACACGAAATGGACCCGCCACTGCACCAGATGGCGTCGGTGGCTCAATTTCAGAGGTAGCTTGAAGTTCTTTGCTACCTTTGGCTATCTGACCAGCACTTGAACTACTGTCGTTTAAAGGGAATGATATTTACAAGGTAAATCTTTTTATTTCAGATTACGCGAGCTGTGCATTGCTGTCCAGGAATCATCGGATCAAGTGGAACGCTTCCGAGCACGAATCGACCCGGAGGGACCGCTGAAAAACGACTACGATCGCTATCAAGATGTAAGAAATTTTTGCTTTACCGTTTGGAAAATTCAACTTTAATTAATATTCAAATTTAGGCCTCGATTCTTCAAAACCAGGAGCTGTTGGTCGAACTGTTAAGGAGGCAAATCAGCGAGTTGCGCAAAAGGATCGCTCGACGGCGAATTCTCATCGCTGACATTGTTGAGGAGAAGATAGCACGAGAAATAAAGATGAAACAATTGGCGAACGATGTGGAAAGAGCAAAGGATAAAGTTTGTTGGTACTACGACAATTGGGGGGAGGGGGCACTTTTTTCTTCAGAACCACTTTTGCTGGGGGTAATTTTATGCGTAGATTCCGAAAAACACAACGAGAGCTTGGGAAAAGGCGTTTTAAGCCGAGTTTCGGGGCCTCAAAGTGCTCGCTCATACAGCGTGATGAGTGGGATACACATAGGGAAGAGGTCTAAAAATGGTCTCTCAAAACATTTTTTTGAAGCCAAAAACACTTCTTCTGGCATAATATGATTACGTTTCTAATCAAATTGAATAAAAAATTTTTTAAAAAAATTTATTTTGTCTCTACCAGTCAATTTAAGGCAAGAAAATTAATGAAAGTGGTTAAAAACGGTTTTGGGCTCTAGTTTTGACCTTGAAAAGTGCCTTGAAAATAGTCGATAGCTTGGGGTCCATACAGTGAAGTACACCATAGAAGCCCGCGCTTTGAAGCCACGAAACTCGGCTTAAAACGCCTTTTTCCATTGTGCTCGTTGTGTTTTTCGGAGTCTATGCATAAAACTACCCCAGAAAAAGTGCCTCCTCTCAACTGTTGTAGTACCAGTTTGTTTTGGCGAAATATTATGCGGACAAAGTTTTTTTGGTGTAAAATTAGTTTTACCAACATCAGCGTACTTATTTGAGCTAAGAAAATATCGATTTAAACCTTAATATCACAAGTAAAAAAGCTTCGTGTTAATGTGGAAAATGTGCTGAAGCTTTTTAAATAGGAACAGCAAAATTTTAGGTTTTTTATGTGTAGCTGTTTATCCAACTTTTATCGTTTGTTTAGGCAAGTCTTGATGACGACGAGATCTTGCGAGTTGGCCGACACTGTGACATCATGCGGACGTTGATCAAGAAGAGGAGACGGGAAATGATCGATGAGCTCTTTCGAGCCTACAAGATTCAGGTAGTTTTCTTTTTGCAGTCTAAAAATGTAAATTTCATAGATTTACAGATCCTTCTCACGATATCACTTATCGTTTTCCATTTCCAGGTTGACATGCTCCAATCGCCGACGATCAACGGGAAGAAGCCCTGCTCGTGTATTCAAGTGGATTCAATTGCGGGAGTGCACTTGCCTCGAACGGAATCGATACTCAGTAAGGATTTGTGGTTCTTTAACGGCCTATTTTGACTTTAACAGAAACGTGATAAAGGAATAAGACAAGTGAGCCAAATTTCAGAAAGATAACCGCGTTGTTATACTATATTGGGTAAGCAAAAAACAATTGAAAATTCGCTTGAGTAAGACCAATTTGTACTTTTTAGCTCATCCGGAGCCGGAAGTCGCAGCAGCACTCGGCCACGTGGTGAATCTGATGCGGTGTGTGATGTGGGTGCTCGATACTCCTTTGCCGTTTCCGCTGACTTTTGTCGGATCGAGAAGTCAAGTGTATGATGCGAGGAAGGATAAGAAGTTAGTGCCCATTAAATGCCATTTTAAATCTTACTAACTAATATTGTTTTCCTTTAGATATTCATTGTTCGGAATGAAGAGCAAACTGGAAAGAGCGCAGCTTGAATTCGCCATGCAACTTCTCAACGCGAACATTCGTCAATTACGCCTGCATTTCGGCTTCGATACGCAAAGTCCGACTGGGACGCTCAAGTTGCTTTTTGAGATCCACCAATGGATTGTCGGGAATAAGTAAGTTTTGTAATCTTTAAATTCTCTAGAAAAGTGGAGCGTTAAAGCGTACAAGTTCTTGTAGGGTTTCAAAGTCCAACAAACAATCTAAAAGTTTTATTTAATAAAATTTTTAGTTTGCGTCCATCACTCGATCGTCCTTTTACATCTGTATTCTCTCCGGCTGCGTTGATCGAACGGAGAAACAGCGAGGAAACGATTGCGGATAATGTGAGTTAGCTTCTACCTTAAAAACATTAGCACGCATTCAGTCAGGATGAATCTCTTGTTTAGGTCAGAAACGAGTCGACTCGCCTCTTGCACACTTTGGATGTCTCTCAACTGTGCATCGACGATTTACCGCCGACAAATGCTTATCGGGAGAGGTGATTTGCAAGTTTTAATCTAAAAGCTCTTGTTAGAGGTAAGATATAAGTTACTTTGTTTAAAAAATAACCTTAATTGAGTTGTTTGAGTTAGAACTAGTTAAACATTTCCAGAACAGTGACTATCGGCGAGGAGGCAGTGGATTTGGATGAAGAGTCGCCCGCGACGAAATCGACCAATTCTTTCATCGACACCGCCATCGGGCTGTGAACAAACAGATTTTAAACGGTTTTTTTAAGATTTTTGTGATTCTGAAGCTGTGATACCTTTTTAAAGATTCCAGATTTTTTAACGATAGTTTCTTTGCACTCACTTTGTCCCACACTTATTGCTTCCGGTGCTTTTTCTCATTTTGCTCCAAGTTTATTTGATTTTGTCGAGAGTTCTGTGATACGTTGTCCGATTATTTCCACATATTCCGATAGCAAATAAAGATTTACGATTTAAATAGAATCTTCGCAGAGGAAAAGCCTGATTCTTTTGAGAAAATTTCGAATTGAATCACTTGCCATTGAAAATTTTGTAGTCATTTTTTTCTCGTAACTGATGTAGTTGAGCCGAAACGAAATGTCGAGTTTTGGTGAGTATTGCATTGAAAAGAAGACAAAATTGCTAGATAATGGGATATTCAGCTAAAGGTGGCCAAACACCTCATCTTTGGCTTTCCAGAATGCATTGCAAGCTTGCTGAGCCTTTTTTTCAAAAATTAAAGTGTCCCATTGGTTTTAGCCGAATATCCTTGTGAAATATTTGGAAAATTAAAAGATATTCAGTTTGAAAGGCTCTGTAAACAAATCACATGACAATTACGGCTTGCCATTGGCCATTAGGCAATGATAAGTCGGGAAATGATTGAAGGATTGATTAGATTTCGGACAATTTACTGTCTATTCCAATTGCTAAGCTTCGAAATCGAATGTCTAATTATTTATTTTTGGGTGGCGTCGAAGCGGCGATGTCGATCGATGGAAATGAGGAAAACGGAGAGGAAATCGAGGACGACGACGAGGAGGATTTGGAGCCGAGATTGCATTACGAGCTGCTTGGGGCAAACGATGTAAAACAGGTGAGGGGGAAAGCAAGGGGTTTAAACTTACCTTAACTTACTTAACTTAAACCTTTAACCTTTCAAGCTTAAACGGCTAAAGGTTAAAGGTTTAAAGCGGCCCATAGCCTCAAAAAGTGTCTTAAATTTTTTCAAAAAAAAAGAATTGAACAAAATTTGCACAAGGGCACTATTAAGTTCGATTTTTCTTTCAGCCAATTGTGCCTTTATCTGGCTCTGGCTCCAGGATTGTTCCCTAAAACCAAATTTTAACCAAGACCAAACCTGGCCGGGCTCTAGCCCTGCCAAATCAATGTCAAAATTTCAAAGTCAATCAAAGTTTCGCATGGCTGCCTTTTCATGACTCTTGGTCTCGCCTTGGTCTTGGTCTTGGCAATTTTGTGGACTAGGAAATTTGCCTACATGAAGTTGGCCCAGGTTTGGCTTACAGGCCTTGGAGGTCAGTTAAATCCTTGCCTTCAAGGCCTTGGACCTTGTCTTTTTTCCCCTTAAACCCCATTTCAAATCTCTAAGCAGGCAGGAAGGAAACATGCGTCGAATATCTCGTTTTTTTTTCAGCTCTACCAAAAGAGTCTCGCCTCGTCGATCGCGTGTCACGCGAAATTCCTGGCAATTGGCACGCATCATGGGCAAATCTTTGTGATGGATCACCTCGGCAATGTCGATTACGTAAATTTACCGGTGAGTTGGGCAAAGGCTAGCAAAAATTTCATGTCTGCCGCAAAAATCAGCGAACATTTTGGCTCTTGGCCTCGTCAACAGTACAAAGCCGACATTTTTGGCATAGCTAGAGTTGGCTTTTTGATCAAAACGAGTTTTCTAGCATTGAGCCAAGAACCACCAAAACAACTCTCATTTTTTAGCCCTACCATCTCCACCGTGGTCATATCACCCGGCTATGCATCGATGAGAGTGGGTCGTATGTGGCGAGTTGCGCCGGTGATGCTCGAGTGGTCGTGCACGGAATTGGGACCAGTGAATTTAATCAGGTGATTCTTAACGAGTGATAGGTGAGTTCATGGAATTGGCACAAACTCAACGCAATCTGGTGACAGTGTGCGCTCCAGATTGTAAGAATTTGCGAGAGGAAATCTCTGAAATTCATTAGTTTTTCGATAAATCGTCCTGAACCTGTGTATAGTTACAGTAGGAATTTTTTTTTGTTTTGAAAACTTCTCGAAAGTTTATGTGCGCTCCAGAATGCAAGATACTTTAAGAAAAGAATTTCTTAAATTCGCTTATTTCCCGTTAATCGGCCTAATTAGTGACTGATTAGTGACTGCCTGGGGGTACTGTAACGAGAAATTTGCCTATAAAGTTTTGAAAAAGCTTGTGTGCGTTCCAGAATGCAAAATTTTGCTAGAAGAAAGCTCGGAAATGCACTCAGAACCTCAATTTTTTCGATCATAAACGAATTTTCAGCAAATCAACCTGAAAACGGTGGCTCGATCGATCGCTTTATCGCCCGATTACGCACGAAGGGATTCCGGGCAACGAGTGCTCATTGGCGAGCGAAATTTACTCATGTTCGAGAAGGGATACTTGACGACAAAAGAAACGATACTGTTTAGAGGCTCGGAGAAGGATGGGTGAGTGAAATTTGAGTATTTTTTAATACTTTTAGGACTACAGTACCTTTAGATGTACAGTACCTTTAGATGTACAGTACCTTTAGAGCTACAGTACTTTTTGAGGTTAAAAGCTGAATATTTTCAGACTACTAGAATTTTTTAAGTTTCCTAACGTCTAAACAATTTTTTTTTTTCACGAATTTTTCCTTTAGATTCATCACGGCGCTTTCGTGGAGAAGATCACTGATCGCTTTCACGAATGAACAAGGGACTAGAGTGTTGGAGAAGTGAGTGAAAAAATGTCAGAGACAAAGAAGACAAAAAGTCCGGTCAGGTTTGAGTTTTCGACTAGTTTCGACTAGTTTACTTATCGTAAATACTGTAATAGTACCCCATCCCCATGATGACGATGCGGAGTGTTACGCAAACTTTGCTGTAAATAGCATAGATGCAGTGGCTATAACAGGAAAGTATAACTTTTTTTTTTGTTACAGTACTTGGTTAAAAGCTAGGCCAGGCGGGGCTGGAAAATTGCCGCTGTGAGTCTTGAATTGATGCTGCCCTGAATCTCGCCTAGTCTGGCATTTTGGTCTGACCGGAACTTTGGAGCAAATCCAGATCGCTGACTTGGGGGAGCAAAGATGAACTTTTCCAGATGCCACTTTTTTTTTTCAGGGTCAACGACACGTTGATAACCCATGTCCTCCCCACGCATGACGTTGACCGAATGAGGAGGTAAAAACTAGAAATTCTACAGTACTAGACCTATTACAGTACTCGTTTTCTGCCCTACCATTGCTGGCTGGACGATGAGAATCTGGCGATCGGCTGGGCGGACACGGTGATCGTGTTGACGATGACGAGAAATGAGCAAACGGTAAGCAAACATTCAAACAATAGCGCATTACTAGACTTTGTGATACACATTGCGTAAATGTGCTCTTTCTGGCGCACTGGACTCTTCATTTTGAAAAGGAAGAATTTGAGTGCACCAGAAAAGCTTGCTTGCGTGATATCCGAGCACAAAGTACACGCAGAATCAAAGCAAATCAAACTTTTGATTACCAAAAGGCGACGGGCTTGAATGAGCCTAAGCATAAGCCTAAGCCTAAGCCTTGAGCCTGAGCCTAAGCCTTGAGCTTGAGCTTGAGCCTGAGCCTTGAGCCTAAGCCTTGAGCTTGAGCCTGAGCCTGAGCCTGTAGGTTTACAGTATCCTATGCGTTTCACCGAGAGTGTCACTTAAGCAAGGATACGGCCAATCTGATCAATCTAATTCTAGAGACAACGCTACGGCGAGATCCGCTACACTTGGCAGCTGTCGATGGGCCTTTCCGGCATCTCCCATATACCGAAATCCTCGAATCGGACAATTGATATCGATGACGAGACGGTGAGGAAATTTATAGTTGAAATGAGAGCCAGACTACGATAGTTGTTCCCCTGAAACGCGCCTTTATAGAAAATGAATTACTGTACGTGCACTCATCACTGAGAAGACTCAGTTTTCAGATCGGCGAACCGTGGGGCGAGTTGATCGTTTTCGGGTTGAAACCCGGCGAGGAGGCGGACGAGAGTGGGGTCGATGCGTTCTGTGATTTGGCTGTAAGTTTTCAAAAATTTATTCTAACTATGCCAATATGTGTCCTGACATCCAGAATCAAAAAATAAAATCTTTACTTTGGTCAAATGTATTCACTTTGGCTTTCTTTGGCTTGCGACAGCCTCGCTAACGTGTGAAGCCAGCACCTGAAAATGTAAAAAGATCGTTTTACACAAGAAAACATCTTGAATATGTTGAACACGTTTCAGAATGATATTTCATTCAAAAATAAATCCTTTTTTTTTCTAGTCAGTCGCCTCAATGTCAACCTCGTCTTCGCCGAGCGTTCCCCCGACGGTATTCGTGGCGATTCTCGAGCCCGAGTCGACAAACGCCTACGAGCTACAGGCCGAGGATAAAATCGGTTTCACCACCCACTCGCATTCGATGCCCGCCCATTTCGCGATGTGCGCTTTACCCGAATTCGACACTTATTTTCTGATGGGACCAAAAGAGATCGTGACGGCCACGCCGAATTGCGCCGATGATGTGGTGAGTGGGGGGAAAATTCGTCAACTTTGCAGCACTGAGAGCTGCGATGGTTAGTATGCGTTCCAAATCAGCCAGAAAAACGGTAACTGGGGAACAATTGCTTTCCCAATGGCATCGGAAGCGCAAGGATGCTGTACGAGTCTCGGTGTTGCATCCCCAATCGGCCCTAGTGATCATTGATCCAGTTGGGACAGCTAGTGTGCGTTCCAGATCGGTCAGAAATATGGTAATTAGGGGAAAATTGCTTTCCCATTGGGCTTTTCGGTGACGGTAAAATTTAGAAAATCGAGCTAGCAACGTCGAGTTATTCTAGGTTCAATGGCGTCGCGATCACGGTCGCCTCGAGGAGGCGTGGACTTTCGCACTGCAGCACATCGACGAGTTGACGAACCCGGATTTTCATCCATCAGTGATTGCAAAGTGAGTAGTTTGAGATTTGAGATTTCGGATTTTTCGTCAAAGCCTGTTACTCGGACGTTTTTAAGGCTCCCTCTTTTCATTAAAATTTTCAGACTACTAATCGAGTCACTCCTCGAAGAGGGCCGAGCCAAGTACGCGGCGAGTCTACTGCCGGAGGTGAAAATCGAAGAAAATTGAAGATTTCAGCATAAAAAAACTCACTTTCCAGATGTGTAAAGAGCAAAAATCGGAATGGGAGAATTTCGTGTCGATTTTCGAGGAAGCCGGCAGATTGCTGCACTTGGCCGAGGCGTTGCCCACCCAATCGCCGCAATTGGAACCCGAGATCTACGAGTGAGGATTTATTCAGTTAACCCTTAAAGTTTGAATTGGTCAAAAAATCCCGAAATTCAAAAAGTACCTTCGAAAAACCTAACATTTTCGACTTTGCCCCAATTTACCCCCCTCATCGTTTATTCTATTTGAAAAGAGCTTTTCCAAATTTCAAGTTGGAACGCATTGTTGCAAAAAAGTCGATTCTAAAATCAATTTTTCACCGTTTCTCTTTTCAGAGAAGTCCTTCACACGGCACTCTATCACGATTTGAAGCTTTTCCGGCGGCTAGTCTCGAAATGGAGTCCCGATTTGTATCGAGTCGGTGAGTGAAAGGGATACCGGGTTTATTCTTGTAGAAGCACAGGCGAAATTCAACTTTACTTTACGGTTTGATCAAGAAACCAAAAAAACTCTGATTTTTACGTTTTCCCCCATGCCAGAATGATCGCCGCTTACCTATTTTTTTCGGCGACCGATTTTGGAAAATTGAGAAATAGAAACAGGTGCTTCTTTTCATAAATGAGTCATGAATAAATAAAGGATTTGATCTTTAAACGTTCGATGAAATATTCAGGTGCCCTCACCGCGCTGACCATGCAACGGATACACGAGGGCACGAAAAGCGACGCCGAGGTTTGAATCAACGGAAAGCAATGGGTTTTCCATTTCCACAATACAATGTTTCAAAAATAGTCAACGGTCGCGCAAAATGACAATTCAATTTCCCCCTCAAAATCAACATTTGTCTATGTAAAGCTTTATTTGCAACAGCAAGATCAGTAATTGAAAAGTTAACAAAACGGAACAACAGAGATTTCAACAATTGTCAGATGACACATAGAAAGCAAAAAAAGTGAGTATAGGGCGAGTTCGACGGGCAAATGTACCCGCAATCCCTGACCGATTTGATATCGGAAACAGGAACTTTCTGCATCAAATGGCGAATTTCCATCGCTTAAACGATCGTTTCCGAGGCGCATTAGTTTTTCCCGCATTTCCCCATCAATTCTTCGCATTCCCGGATATTTCGTGAGAAAATCGACAACTTGGGTATTCCTTGCCGGTGCTCGTCAACACGAAAAGACGCCTCGAGGTTTACGACTTGCGATCCCATGTTTGACAATCGACGAAACGTTCAGCGGAAAGACATTCGTCGCCGTCGACATCTAAAGAAAAACGTTATTGATATAAAATCAGAATATTCAATGCTTAATATTCTCAAGTCTTTCCCAAAAAAGAGCTTAGGAAAACTGGTAAAATCCAGACGAAAATTAGGTTCTTGAAAGTGAAAATCTCTTTAAATTTGTCTAATACACTTAATATTGCCAACCTCCTTAACCCAATCCGTTTAAAATCTATAACAAAATCATCGAATTCACTCGAATTTCCCAATGCGCTCAACCCTACTCATCACTATTAGCTGAATATCTTCATATCAAGGAATAAATATCCTCAACAAAACGATTTCTTGTCAAAAGGGCAGCAGAGCTACATCATCTAGAAGTCCAAACGCTAAGGGTTAGCGTAAATGAACAAATTTACACTCAAATGGCAGAGTTGGCTGATGCTAACTAAAAAAATCACGACTTTCCAGTGTTTTAGTACAATTTTACCGGATTTTCAATGATATTCAGTTAATAATGATGCAGAACGTTAGGAATTAACTTTAAAATTAAGATACCAAAGCCGTACCTGCACGAATCTCATGAGCGTTTTCTCCAAAGCGCCGTCGTAGAAGTGGAACGAGGTATCGGTACAAAAATCCAAGTCGATTCGCTGGCAATCGTTGAGCTTCGTTACCATGAATTCTTGGAATCGTTCTTTAACCACTTGATCATCTCGAAAAGCCAACGATTGCACACTCAACACAGCGTGTTCTTTGATGGAAACCCGGAAACTCTCAACAAACACGGCCAAATCGTCGCTATCATCCAGGAAAAGCCAGAAACGATTCACGGATGTAAAATGATTGAAGAATTCGGTGTGCCGATCAGTGAAAAGTTCATTTCCCGCACCAATCATCAAATTATCGCATGAATTGATGGCCTTGATGAGTGGAAAGTGGCGAACCCCATTAAGCGTGGCTCCGGGCGAGTCCGGGAACTTCTTGAGCCAAATCTTCCCGTCGTCCAAGCGAATCGTGTCCACGTGGTGGTCGTAAACGAGAGACGGATTGCGTGAAAGCATCCATTGAAATCCCGCATTCACTTTGACCAACTCAATCGCATCTTTCGCGTCCATTTCCTCCAGCACTTCCAACTTCAGATCGTAACAGAGCTTCTCCATCGGAAAAGACGTCAGATTCCTCATTTCAAACAGCATCTTGAGCGCCATTCTTTCACCTGTAAAAGGAAACAATTCGTTCTTGTCGGAAAATGAAAGAGAAAACACAAAAAGCAATCAATTTATGGTAACAAAATGGTTTTCTATGGAGTCAAACGTCAAATTTGGCTTTTCCTAACCTTCTCAAGCCAACAACTTTCCTAATTTCATAAAAAACAGAGCAATTTGCGATTTGCCTAGGAAAAAGGAAAGGTCAATAATAAGCAAAACTTTCTCAAAAAAGCTTAAACATCCACGAAACCTGTCATAAATCAAAAACTGACAGTTAACAACCTAGCTCTAAGCACAATTCATACAAATGCTCTAAAAACAGAATTTTTCCACAAAACGAATCACATAAAAATCGGGAAGATATCAAATCTAGATCAAAAATGGGGGTTTTAGCGATTGAAATCTACGATGAAATGTTTAAATAGTGCTAGTTCACCGAATTGTCAATAGAATGGTTTAGAAAAAAATGTTAAAACTACAAACACGACAAAATCAAAAAGGCTGACGCCGCTTTTAGGGAGTAGAGAAGAATGAAAAATTTGAAAACTTTCACCAATTCTTTCCTTTAGCTGAATATCTTTAACTGAAGGCAATTTTAAGTGCGTTTTAGTGTTTTACTTAAAGTTAAAGGCAATTTTAGTGTTTTGAATCGAAAAGTAGCCTTTCTTTAAAGTCGAATCTTTGGTTCTACTAAATTGAAGAAGTTTTCATTTCGGGGGGCTATACGGGTTGACGAGGGGCCCAGTAGCCCTCAAAAATGGCCTGGTGTGGCCTCATAAATGCCTCTGGCAAGTGCCCTTTCTAGGATTTTCAGCCACGCTGAATCGATTGGTAATATTTGTAGAATGTGTTTGTGTCTTATTTCTAGATCAGCAGATCTAGCTTATGTCCGGTAACAGGCAGCCAGTTTGAGCTGAGGCAGCAAGTCGGAACTCAGGCAGCCAGTTTGAGCTGAGGCAGCAAGTCTTAACCTATGCCTGGCCAATACTCGAACGTGATCAAGCATACTAGACTGTGCTCGGTCAGTACGCTATATGTGCGGAGCCTTAGCCTAGATAAATAACACGCAAACAACGCGGGAGCAAAGAGAGAGGTTATGCCTGTCATGTCTAGACCTTTAACAACACTCGAGACAGCAAGCCCTTGTCTAGCCAGCCATAGCCTAGTAAAAGCTTAGTGTAGGAAGAACCAGCTCGGAAAAGATTACCAATCGATTTCGCGTGGCCGAAAACCCTAGAAAAAGTGTTTTTGGCACTTGTCAGAGGGACTTTTCTGAAATCAACATTTCTGAAATTTAGTAGAGCCGACTATTTCCAGAAATCAATTCAACCCGACGAGGAGAAAGATCTCTACCACGCGCTGGCCAATTTGTATATTGCTGATCGAAAATACGACCTTGCGCTGAAGATCTACTTCTCGTCGAAAGAGAAATACATCTTCAATGTGGTCAGGAAGTATCGATTGTTTGATTTGGTGGGTTTTCGGTAGAATCCGGGATCCAGAATGATTACAGTGAGCCTGTCCGAGAAGAGAAATCAAATAGTTGCAGGTGAAAGACCAATTGACCGAATTGATGACAATCGACAAAGATCAAGCGCTTTCATTGCTGTTGAACAACGAAATGGTGGTGAATCCGGCGGATGTGATGACGAAGATTGCGAGGGAGCCAAGGCTACAGGTGAGTACGCGTTTACTGTAGGCTCACCCTTTAAGCTCACGCAGCTCACGTCTCTTTTCAGCTCGCCTACCTGAAGAAGCTATTCGAACGGAATGAAGGTGATGAGTACGCCGATCAAATGGTTTCGTTACTCGCTGAATATGATCGGTAAATGGAAATTTTCCAAGAAACCACAATCCCATCCCTTTCCAGCCCTCAATTGTTGCCTTTTTTACGCAAATCTAAGCACTATCACACGAATCGAGCGCTCGAGATCTGTAGCCACCGGAAATATGACGATGAGGTGAACCAATTGAAAGGAAAATTTAGAAATCTCCTATCTGGAACACACAACAACTTTTGACATCATTTCCATGGCTCAAAACAAAATACGTTTTTGTGTCAGAAATTTGTCGCTTTCTAAACGGCGGCTATTTTCGAAAATTACTGTAATCCATTAGCAGCCAGAGTTATCATTCAATTCGTCGAATTTTTTGTGTCTTACCGTATTTTCTTAATTTTAGCGAGTCTTCCTCTTGGTGAAAAGCGGAAATCGACGAGAGGCGCTGAACGTGATGGTGCAACAGCAGAATCGTTTGGATAAAGCAATCGACCTCTGTCGGGGTAAAAACCCAAGCAAACTAGACGTCAAAGTCACTTCAAAATCTGCTAATTCTCCGATCTGGAACGCAGATCAAAGATCTAACCGGTTTCCAGAGCTAAAGAGTACAATCTAGCATTTGGACCTGAAAGCGTTTCGGTCTTGGAGTACTATACAACAAAAATACTCTAATATCAGCCCTGAAAACTTGAAAATGCTCTGGTCTGGAACGCAGCTCAGAGATCTAATTCATTTCCAGAGCATGAGGATGATGAATTGTGGTCACTGTTGGTGAACGAGGTGGTTTCAAGTCGATCTCCAGCCAATATCTCTCAACTTTTGGCCACTGCTGGTACTTCAATCGACCCATTGGGCATAATTGAAAAGGTGGGAATAATAGAAAGAATGAAGTTTCGATTTGAACACCTTAAAGCTTTCAATTTTTCAGATCCCAGAAGACCTGGAAATCCCCGGTTTGCGGGATCTTCTCGTGAAGATTTTAAGAGACTACGAGACTCAGGTGAGATCGTTTTTGGGAAATTTGTGATAACAAGAGTTTTCAGGTGATGTTACAATGGTGTTGCCACTCGGCCACATTGGATGATGTTCGCGGGATGTCAGATCTCTTCTACAAGTGAGTTGTAGCTGATTGCTAGACTTTTCTCGAGTCATATTCAAATTCAAATTACAGACAAGCCAACCGTGCCACCCATTACGGACAAAGGAGCGTGTGCGCGATTTGTCGGTAAAGGAATTCGTAGGAAAAATTGTAGAATTGCAAATTTACCTTTAAAAACGTTGAGCAAAGAGGTTGAACTCGAAATTTCAGAAGCAAACTGTTTATGGAAGAGAAGAGGGAAGAGTTGCAGCTATTCGGGTGTGGACACGCCGTGCATTCACGGTGTTTTGAAGAGGTGAATCAATTCAGGCAAAGAAATGAGCTTTAGCTTCAATTTCGGCACCTTCAATGTAGTGTTTCTAGAACGCTAGCAAGCCACTAGGCTAGAATTCTACCTAGCCACTAGGTAGCATTCCACTTTGTGCTCTAAACACACCCAGTCTGGCGCACTGATCACAATATTTCTTTCAGAAAACCCGTCGGGATTCCCATTTGGGCACGATTCCCTTAAAGGATTGTCCCGTTTGCGCGGAAGAGGATGGGATGAATTGATTTTTTTTACTTTAACCATGACAAATTTTCCTTTGAAGCTCGCCTGAATATCCTTAAATTTATAAAAGAATCCTTTTCTCCACATAAACTCGTTTCCTTTGTTTCATTTAAACTTCATTTCATTAGCTTCATTCAAAATCCTTGAACTTTCCGGTAAACTACTCAAAAAAATTGCTCAACTCGGAAAAATTGACTTTATTTTTCTCCAGGAGGAAATTTTTTCTCAATAGATTTGTCATTTTCATAGATTTTAAAAGTTCCTACTCGTCCCAATTTGTTTTTTCCTTGTTCTCCAACGGCTGGTACCTCTCACTGTGATTTTCCTGGCCTTTTCTTTAGAATTGATGTAATTTCTTTAAAAAGTGTGTTCAACCCTAATTTTTAACGGCTTAAAACCTTAAAAATTCGCAAATGAAGCTCAAAATTGTGTCAAAATCAAAGAAATTGCACCTTTTTTGAAATTTTTCTTTATTTCTCCCCTCATTTCTGTACTTTTTTAAAGAATCTGTGTTGGTTAAATACCATAGATGTTAAAAAGATAAAAATCTATTTAAAAATGAAACGAAACAATCGAAACCGCAAAAGAGTGACCGAGAAATTGAAGAAATTTCCATAGGCTCAAAGTAAGTTCAAAGATCAAAGCTCAAAGTATTGAATTCCCGCGAATTCACAGCAAAACTTTCATCTTTCTCAATAAAATTCCAAACTTTATTTGTAATAAAATGCAAGAATCACCAAGGAAACAGTTAAAGTTGAAAGTAGCCAAAAAACGATCAAATCTACGTGTGTAACAACAATAACGGGCACTTTAATGTTAATAGAATCGCAAAGGATTATCTGGAATGCAATGAGAATGACCAAGTTTAGCTGAACTAATTGACAACATCATTATCCGTAAAGTACCTTGACAACATAATGATTAAACACGTCACAGAATAGCCTAAAAGTGATCACTTCATTAAGACAGGTAAAAAAGCTGACGCATTCAGATTTAGTTAATGATGGTTAAAACGGTTAACATCCAGAGAGAATCCTTCGGGTTTGGGATGAACATGAAAGATGGGAATTTCTTGATTTGAATTCCAGCTTTTCTTGAATTCCAGCGGTGGATCTCGATGAAAATGCTTCATCGCGTGAACGTTCTGTCCAAAAACAAGTGCCGCATTCCTCACAAGCATCTCTTGGAATCCTTCATTCACCTTGGTCAGTTCAACAACATCTTTCGCGTCCATTTGCTCCAGGACTTCTAACTTTAAGTCATAGCAACTCATGGCTCAGTCATGGCAACCATCGGAAATGACGTCAAATTCTTCATCGGAAACGGCAGAGCTCCGTTCTTGATCGGCCCATTTCCCCCATCTTTCTTTTCATTTCCACTTCCATCATTTTTTGCTTCTTGGCGGGTGGCAAATCGGCCTTCTTATAGCTGAAAAACAGCCAAAATCATGAAGACTCCAATGCTAAATAAAAAATAATGCATTGAAAATTTAAAAGTAAAAGAGAAATTAAAAGTATACATATCCGTTCAATTTTTTACGGATTCAGGCAGAAGTCATTCCAAAATTTCAAAGATTTATTTGTAGCAACAAAAAGTAAATGTAACAAAACGTAACAAAGTAATCAATACTCATTAACCACAAGCTAACGTAACGAATGATAAAATAATCCTAAATGGAATAACAGGAGTATGAGAGCCAAAAACATTAACCCTTGCCTTCATCTCGACCAAAGGGTGCATGTTCGGGCAAACAAAGACGTCAGTGTCGACCGGTCGAGACCGTCCATTCCATTGGACCTCCCTTCAGGCACGGGAATCTAAATTTAAAAAGTTCAAGTTATTTTATTCACTCGGCATCCTGTGAACCTCGACGTGGAACCCGACAAAGGAACAAGAAAAACCGCTTTCGCCGTTACAGGTTTTGATTCCATACAAGCTACACAAACACACATAATACACCGAGGCACACGGCATAGAAGATCCGCTTCCACAACAAGTCATCAAAGACCAAAGTAACATGAATCGGATATGCTGAAATGACACGAAAATTCTTTAAAATCCGGCCGTGATTAATGCACCCCCTTAACTTTTCACTCAAAAACCCCACCATCACATCAACATCCTCGATCAGGGACTTCGATTCGCTCACGTTCTCCCCATCATCGCACCCGGTTTACGAATCGATTTTGATCCGTTCGACGCACACTTTTCACAGCAACTCGTCGAGCATATCATTTCTTTCTAAAGAAAAAAATTAAAGATGTAGATTGAAAAGTTTAAAAGTGCAATAAGACCCAGCTTTGCAGCTTGACCCATGGGTGATGGAAGCATAGAGATTCTCACCACTCGAATCACCATCACAACCGATGTCAATGCAATCGACTCGATTCCTGTAGTGGAAACATTAAAATTTCCACAATAAAATAATCAAAAAAGATATCGCCATGTGTCTTTAACACAACAAATCATTGTTCAAAAAAAGAAATTGTACAACTTTATTTCTTAGAGAACTAAAAAACGGCAAAATTACACAATAAAAGCACTAAAACTGTAAAAGACTCGATAAAATCCCTCAAAACACGATCATTTTCTATTGTGGTTCAATGTAGAAGGCGAAAAATCGATTGAATTGATTGCGCCGGGGAAGCATGTAGATACAATCTCTGCTCGAGTCAATGTTTCGTCGAAAAAATAGACCGTCCACCACAGGAAACCAGCGGAATCCGCCGCTATACTTGTCCACGAGTTCGGTCCCCATTTTGATGACCTCTTGATTATTTTCTCCGTCGCATCGCTCCATTCCAGGGGATTGCGAAAGAAAATCGACGATTCGGGCCTTAATCTCCTGAGAAGCATCGGTTCTCAGATAATCGCTGTCATACACATAAAAAGCTGCCTTCGAATTCTTGCTTGGGATCCCCTTTTCAACGATCGATTGCACGATCTCTTCAAGGTGATCCACGTTGATTGCCATTCTCAAGATTTTGGTTGAAGTCCTGGCAAAAGCATCGTAGTAGAAGTGAAACGCAGCGGCAGAACGACAATAATGCAAACAGACGTCTTCGCAGTCATTCAGCTGATTTGAAATGAAATTCTCAAAAAGCTCGAGGATCACTTCATTTTCTTTCAACAAATCAATGTACAGGTAAATCCGCGCGAATTCTTCAATCCTCGAGCGGAAATTGTCAAAAAATTTCAGCACACACTCCGTTCTGTGCAATACGAGCGTCAGATTTCTCACAGAATTCAATTGATTCAGAACCGTCGCGTGTTCGTTGTTGAGTTGTCTGTGGTACCCCCTTGTTCCAAAGCGTATACCCAATCTGTCCGTATCATCACTTATTCCCAGGTTATCCACAATTTGTCACACGAATGGATTCGTTTGCTTAGCGGAAGATGCCTCGCATAAATTTGGTCAAAGACAAAGTTCTCCAACTTCCGGATGCGAATCTTCCCGTCCTGCCATTCATTCATTTGAATCTCCTTCACGTGGTGGTTGAAAACGAGCGACGGATTGCGTGAAAGCATCCATTGAAATCCCGCATTCACTTTGACCAACTCAGTCGTATCTCTCGCCTCGATTCGCTGCAGCACTTCCAACTTCAGATCGTAACAGAGCTTCTCCATCGGAAAAGACGTCAGATTCCTCATTTCAAATGGCATCTTGAGCGCCATTCTTTCAGCTGTAAAAGAAAACAATTGGTTCTTGTCGGAAAATGAAAGAGAAAACACAAAAAGCAATCAATTTATGGTGACAAAATGACAATTTCTAATGTCCTTGGGGTCAAACGTTAAATTTGGCTTTTCATAACCTTTTCAAGCCAACAACTTTCTTAATTTCATATAATTCAGAGTAATTAGTGAGAAGGGGAACCATAAGCAAAACTTCCGAAACCGCTCGTTTTCAACGTTTTCCGAAACCGCTCGCTCGTTTTCAACCACCACGTGGACG